GGGGGGGGGGCACTGTGCTACAAGTGGGTTCTATTCCCCGTGAGGTTATTGAATTTGTCAATTAACCTAATCCTTCCAGCCGCGCTATGTCCCTGGGGTCGTCTCAGCTTCTAACAGAAATGACTACCAGGAATCTTTCTGGGAGTAACGGGCGGCTGGCGCGTAAGACTGACAAATTTACCGCCATCTGTGAGCCGATTGTCTAGAAAATGTGGGAGCCTCGACGGCCTGTTACAGAGATAGCTTTATCGTCGCTTTTTGAAAGTGCGTTTATTTTAACCACACTTTTTCATTTTACGTGTTGAAGACGTCGCTTGAAGTTGCAGTTGTCAGCTGTAATGGCGGTTTGCATACCTTGTCCCTCTGTTAAAACCGAACTTTCAGGCAAAGTGGTTTCCATCCACCTGCTTCCTATTCAGGATTCCAGACAGGTGCTAGACTGGTTCTGCTACCTTTTAAGAGGCCCCGAATGCTGTTTTCCACACCTGTCCCAATTCACCGTCCTTACTCTAGCGTATTACAGCATATAACATAGTATGTAGTTGTTACAGCGGCGATAAATAAACGAGACCTCTTTATTCAAATGTCAGTGGCTGTATTGGCAAGTAGGGATATTTGCAACAGTGTACTGGAATACAAGTTCACGGTGGTCCTGTAAACATGGACTGACCTAGTCCCGGAATATATATTGTGGCGTGTAGACCTGTTCCTAGGCAACGACCGCGAAATAAGCAACTATACAACAGCCGTTACTAGGCAGAGGGCCGTAAACAGCAACAGAGAAACGGCGTTTTCTGTGCGGTCCGTGCCGAGATGTCATACGGAGGACAAGTTAGGAGTTGCGGTTAGATAACAGCTGGGCTTCAGTGGTTGTGAGCTGTTGCTGAGGCCGGGGACAGTTGGGGAACCCAGTGCCTTGGAATATAAGCGGGCCGCACCGTTCCTGCGGGATATAGATACGGAGACATGGCTCTCCAGGTTGGGGGGGGGGGGTCTCGAATCTGAGACTGTAAAATGTAATAATGAGTCCCGAGGGACTCGGACCGGGGAATGACTGCGCTGGCGAGGATCAGTAACAGCTGTAAACGACATACCCTTTCTGTTGTCAGAGAGGATGTTACATAAGGGATCAGTTGAAAAAGAAAGTTGCTGGTCGTGAGTCTCAAGGGGCTTGGCACCAAGAGCTGATTGGCGGTAAACGGCCAGTCTAAAGTAACTCTGACTCTGAGAACGAACAGGAGAGGATCTGGAAGGAAGCCATTATAAACTAATGTTATGTCCTTGTGTTTAGAGTCCAGGATACTAGCAATACTGGACAGAGTTTGCCATGTTGGTTGTTCTTCATGTAAATCGAATTTGAAAGTTAGAAATTNCCAAATCTTAACAATTTCATATGCACCCAGAAGCATGACGCACCAACAGTGATATGAGCTTCTGGGATAATTCATAAAGAAGCGATCACAATGAGGAGCTCCATAACTTGTACGCTTCGCCAAGTATAATCACAATGATCAAGTCAAGGGTGACGAAATTGGCAGGGCATGTAGCACGAGTGGGTAAAAGATGAATGCATATAGGATATTGGTGGGAAAGCCAGAAGGAAAAAGAGACCACTAGGAAGAGCAAGACATAGGTGGGTGGATAATATTAAAATGAATCATAAAGAAATATAATGAGGTGGTATGGACTGGATTGATCTGGCTCAGGATAGGGACCAGTGGAGGGCTCTTGTAAACACTGTAATGAACCTTCGGGTTCCGTAAAATGTTGGAAATTTCTTGAGTAGCTGCGCTAGTGTCGGCTTCTCAAGAAGGGCTCAGCTCCATGAAGTTAGATAGTTAACAAGATTAGTTTTTCTCTCAAAGTAACTGTGCAAACCGTAAAAATTGCTCGTGTGAATATTATTATTATTATTATTATTATTATCATTATTGCTAGTGGGGTGGGACTAAGTCCCTTGTACTGCGGCCACTTCTGGCCTGTTGTACCAGCCCCAGATAATAGGTGAGGGTGATTGTGGAACAATTGGTGGAATGAAGATTGGCAGGGGAAACCGAAGTACTCGGAGAAATCCTGCCACAGCACCACTTTGTCCACCACAAATCTCACTTGACCAGACCGGGATCGAACCCAGGCCAGCGACTAACCGCTTGAGCTATGGCGCGGCCCCTCATGTAAATATAGAGTGAAGAAATATCACCACCGAAAATGGCTTATGGCGTGCATGGAGGCAAAAGCTTAGACATTTAGACCTCAGCACTGGGGAACAGAGAATGTTGAGCTCAATGCTCCTTACATCTTTATCCCGGAATTTACTTGAATGATAAGATCTGTCAATGTGAGCCTATCTGGACGTGATGTCGAACCCAGGGGAGAGCGACGTAATTCTTCTACAGTTGTTGCCCATCCTAAAACGCAAACACGGGCAATGGCTGAAGGCGATTATGTTCACTTTTCCACCTAACTTCTTCACGAATACATGTGAAATGCTCCACATTCCTTACATGGTTCTCTGTTCCACAGTTAGCCTTAAACTGCTGCCTCCAGTGATCTGCAAAAGGGACCAGAATTCTAGACAATTCTTGAGCGCCTTAAATTTTTGGCTAATTCTGTATTAAATTTGTAAGTCGTGTTTTGATAACGTTGCATTGAAATACTTGTCAGCACGTTCCTCACTGGTCACGTTACGTAAGAAAGGGGTTCGCATTGGCCCCGACTGCTTTCCTTGCAGCACGTCTCTATAACTCTATCCTCATCCCACACTTCGACACCGAAGAAAGAAGCAGCATATTTCTCCGAAACTTTGGTATCCACCTCTGTCGCAATCCAGACGACCACAATATAAAAAATACATGACAGTAAAATCTTGAAAACTTATACGAGTTGTGAAGTCTGAGATACTTACGCCGGGTAGTCTGGTAGTTCCAACGATCTACCAGACTACACGGCGTCATACCTAGGAAGAGAGTGATTTTTATAAAGTTCGGTCTTTTATTTTCGAAGATTTTGAAACTCGTATGAACCGGGATAGCGCAGTCGGTATAGTGACTGGCTACAGGCTGGACGACCGAGGGTTCGGAGTTCGAGTCCCGGTAGGAGTCAAGGATTTTCTCTTCTTCACGTCGTCCAGACCGGCTCTGAGGCCCAGCCAGTGGGTACGGCGGTAAAGAGGCCGGAACGTGAAGCTGACCATTCACCTCCTCAGTCTCTTAATTTCCTCCTGAATCAGGTTTTGATTTGTTATCGTCGTTCCCAAATATCTTGACTGTGCCACATTTTCAGACCATCTGCTTCCTATCTTTATGTCACGATGAACCAGAATGAGTGCTGTAATAAATTCTGACGCCCCATGTATCATCATATATGATTGAGTTCAACAGCAACGCAAATAAATCAATTAGTGACCTATTATTTATTCCTGTTAAGTTATTAGCCGTCTCACGTGCAACTTCTTTTTATTTTAAATGTTATAAGCTCTTCCACATAAGTGATACATGCACACTACACGCCTCGACCAACATTGGTCATCTTCAGATGTCTCTAAAAATTTTGATGGAACTGCTGTGCTTCCATCGGTAATTTCAGTTTTTGGGAGTATACCCTCATCTATGCGCCTGTGTTTCCTATAGTGATGGGTAAGATAAAGTTGTTCCTGTGCTTAACTAATTAAGCACTGCGCCTTGAAGGCGTACAGGGGAGTGGATATATTGATCCACATATTCTTGACCTCGGCAATATTGGAGGTGAGTGGTCGCCTTCACGCCTCGGTCGTTTAACCTTCGGGGAAAGAGCCCTTGATGCCCGTTGGATAGGAGGCTGGGTGGACCCCAGAGCCGGTCTGGACGACATGGAGAAGAGAAAATTCTTGACCCTACCAGGACTCTAATTCCGACGCCTCGGTTGTCGCTATACCGACTGAGCTATCCCGGCTCCTATAGTGATGGCTAGTTTATCTTATTATGTCGTGTGCAGCCCTTACGAAAGTTCAAAAGTTAAAAAAAAAGTTTCATGTGAGACGGCTGGTAACTAACAAGGAATAAACAAGTGACGTGTAACAGGGTGCACCGATAATACTCGCATATTATTTCGTTTCTTTTATTACGAAATTTCGGAGAGTAAATCTGGGGCTGTTTTGTTGTTTAGGGATGATGTTTTGAGGTTGTAGTGTAGCGCGAGACATGGGGGCGGTGCTTCGAACTGCCAGACGGTCTAACGGAATAGAAAGGGTTGCAAAAATGCCCGTAGTCTGAACTGGCATTCACATGGGAGAGGCTGTCTGACGCAGTGTGTGCGGCCTCTACGCGCTAAACGTGAGTACATCCGACATTTTGTATCCTGTAAGTTTTGATATCTTCAAGCAGATTCCGTAAAAATGTAGTGTGTGTTCACTTACATATTTAGTTATGTATTGCCAATGAACTCAAGTGACCTCGAGGTCTCTACTGCGACTGTCACTTGTTTATTCCCTGGCCAAATGCAATCGATATAGCCTTGAAGAGGATGTATTGGAGTGTACAATAGTGGAAGTTCAGGAGACATTTAATATTTTATATTCTTTAAATTTGTTACGAGATCTGCTTCTTCAAGTGATATGTTTCATGTTAGAGAAAACTGTCAAGTTACCCGGATTTTAACCCAGTTACAGCGTAAACACAAATATTCTAATTTCACAATTTTATTCGATGTTTTCTTAGATCAGAAAAATCGTGCTAACATGTCACATGCCTCCTGTAAAGTTCAGTTGTGCTGGTTTTCATTCTGCACAAATCTTTATTAAAAGAACAAAGCAACGAACCCGTCACCCCTGACGAATTAACGGATGGACGAGTGTATACTGATAGCCAATCGTTTTAAACGTGTTTTTCTTCCTCTAACTGTACACTTCTAGCGCATAAATAGTATTTTCCTTAAACGACGATAAAATATATTTATAAGTAGATTCTAATGGGTTCTGACGATGGTGTATAACATTCAGAATTACTGGGGCTTCGGGCTTTGCCCATCGTCCGGTATTCTAAAAACTTGAAAACACAATGTTTCTACGCATTGGTGTTCATGAACCTGAGTTTGTACCTCTCTTTCCATCAGTTTCACGAATATGCAGGCTTTATCACATTTTCCTGTTGTCTCCCTTCGAAGTAGGCTGGTCGCAGGCAATTAAATAGCTGTAGTGAATCTGACAAGGGTTGTCCAGTTCTATGGGACTAAATAGAATACGTCTCCCCCAGCACCTGTGGACGGAAACAGATCCAGTTTCCGAAATGTTATGTTTTCTAGTTTTTAGAATACAAGATGATGGCCAAAATCCGAAAGCCCGGAAATTCTGGGTATATTTACAAGTGCATCAAAACGACTATGGGAATTTTAATACTATCGATAATCAGAAGCCACTTCATGCAACGTCGCATACTTATTCAGTTCACATTCCATCAATTTTAAATCCGGGAGCTGAATTCGAAGATTCCATATCGGACCAAGGCATTCTTTGGCCGCGCCATAGCTCAAGCGGTTAGTCGCTGGCTTCCCACCGCGGCGGCCCGGGGTCGATCCCGGGACTGGTCCATATCGGACCAAGGCATTCTTTGGCCGCGCCATAGCTCAAGCGGTTAGTCGCTGGCTTCCCACCGCGGCGGCCCGGGTTCGATCCCGGGACTGGTCCATATCGGACCAAGGCATTGTTTGGCCGCGCCATAGCTCAAGCGGTTAGTCGCTGGCTTCCCACCGCGGCGGTCCGGGTTCGATCCCGGGTCTGGTCAAGTAGGATTTGTTGTGGACAAAGTGGCGCTGGGGCGGGTTTTCTCCGAGTACTTCGGTTTCCCCTGCCAATCTTCATTCCACCAATTGCTCCACAATCACTCTCACCTATCATCTGGGGCTGGTACAATAGGCCAGAAGTGGCCGCAGTACAAGGGACTTAGTCCCACCCAACTAGCAATAACAAAAAGTATGAGAAATGTCGCAGTCAAGTGAGTAACAGTCTTCTTCATATTCGGGAGTTCACAGGTTCAAAACTCGGTCCGAAGACCTGTTATTCCGACTGATTTATCTCATGGTTTTCCTCAGTTCGTCCAGGCGAATTACGGGACAATGGCTCAAATTAGGCCACCGCCACTTCGTCCAACACCATTTCCAGTTCACCATTGTTTGATCATCCTACGATTTGACAGTATGCAGCCTCATCAACTGACAACATCCGGAAACAAACCATAAACAACTGAATAAATTAAAACGGGTAGCATTCATCTGTTGCAAGGGAAAACATTTTTGTAGTTGTATAATCTCTAGACAGATGGCACGAGGTAGCTTAGTTGATTGAGGCACTATGCTCGGGCTCGATTCCAGATGACGTCATTGGATGTTTTCAATTAACCTAATCCTTCAGCCGCACTATGGTCCTGGTATCGACTCAGCCTCTAACAGAAATGAGTACCACGAATATTCGTGTGGGTTACGGGCGGCTTGTTACTCCTCAGTTCAGAATATTTTGTCTTGTCATCTAAAGCAGTGAAATGTGAAATGTACGTTAATATGTTTCTTTTGCATGGGTTTGAAGCTTTGTATATCTCATTAAGGGTTCCAAACAGCACACTTATGGGGGATGTAGTTATAGTAGTCTGGATACAGCTACACAATGAAGAGCTTCGTAATTTTTATTATTTGTCAGATATAAGTATGAATCAGGCAATTAAAATTGAAGCAGTAGCGTAGTTGGTTGAAGGGCTATGCTACAAGCCGGAAGGTCGCAGGTTCAAAATCCCGATGAGGTAATTGGATTTTTTTCAATTGACCTAATCCTTCCAGCCGCACTATGGCCCTGGCGTCGACTAAGCCTCTAACAGAAATGAGTACCAGGAATTAATTAAATAATTTTCCTGGAGAGTAAAGCGCGGCCGGCGCGTAAGGCTGACAACCTTACCGCCATCTTTGAGCCGATTGTCTAGATCAGGCATGTCCAACTTCAGACAGGTTGTGATCGACCTTTTAGCGTCAAAACTGCCAGTGATATACCCCCCTCCTATCGTCGTACCTCGCTTTAAGCAAAAATATTGGTAAAAATAACACGACACATGGTGTTTGTTGCAAAAAGCAACATACATTGAAAGTACAGACTACTTGAACACGTATTTTCCCTTCAAAATCTGAATATAATCATATTATATTACAAGTGAATTTACATGCTTTTCACGTATAATTTCCTTATAGGCCTATGAGATCGACCAAAAATCGCCCCGCGATCGACGCGTTGGGCATGCCTGGTCTAGATAATATGGGACCCTCAACGTCTCACAACCCTATGGGCCTTCACGGCCTGTTACAGGGATAGCTTTACTTTTACTTACTTCACTATTCAGATATAAGTAGGATCGTAATATCAAGGAGGATAAGATGAGCAAGGCATGTAGCACACATGAAGAGGGCGAGAAATCGATATAAAGTTTTGGTCGGGAAATCTTAAAGAAAGAGAGCACTTGGAAGATATATGTGCAAGCAAGAAGATAATACTGTGGCGTGCCGCCTAAAAGCTGGAATATCTTGAGTCAAAGAAGGCGTCCATTGCTAGACAACGGCTTATTAAAACACGTTTCCGAGACAACGCATACAATGACGTCCACTGCCGGGCAACGGCTCAATAAGCGTTGTTCCCGCAACAACCAATACGCTAGTGATAAAATCAACGTGTTACCTAAAAATGAAAACACGTTCCCCGGCAACTAATAGCCAAGCTACCGATACACTAGCTAACACGGGGAACGAAGCCCTTGACGAAGGCGTCTTCTAGTCCGTCCGACTGTCGAAGGTAAGATCAGAGGAGAGCAGAGCGGAGACCAGATCAGAGGCGAACGGAGCAGAGCTGAGAGCAGAAGAAACCAGCTCAGCTAGGAACCAGAAGACGACGGGACCAGTCAGGTCGCATCGCCGGAAGACGCCATTTCTGAGTGACTGTAATTGCAGTTGCAAACAACTCGTCCAGTAAACAGCTTGGTCTAATCAGGAACCCATTAATTTCTTTTCGCGTTACCAGGATACGGAAGTGTATTAACATACTTCTTAAGGAAGTGCAGTGGGAGGTTGTGGACTCGGATTCACGTGCTCCAGGATATGGATCCTGTGAACACGGTAATAAACTTTCAGGTTGTATAAAGTACGGACAATTCCTCGACTAACTCCATCAGTTGTAGGTTTCAAAGAACATGCTCCATGCAGTTATTACATTAATTTGTTAATTAGGCGACCTTTCGGCGACTATGAATGTCGAAGTTTATCGTAGCTCCACGGATGCAAAACAAAAAAAAAAGTTCATGGTACCATGCCGTATGTTCACTGACCTACGTTGAGTTGAAGGTTAGTGTCTGCCCCAGCTTCCTCTATCGAGAGAGGCGAGTTGTGTATCTCAGTTCCTGTATGCTAGAGGTCTTGGGATCCAGTTGATAATTCATATCAGCACTGACCTTAGCCTAGTTGGTTGTCCTGCTGTATTCATATCAGAATAAATTTCACCCACATCACATGTATATTGTAAAGTGTAGTACCGTTGCTATGCAACAATCGCGAGACGGAACATGCGTTGCTAGGTAACGGCCGGTAAACACGTCAACGATATCCGGGCTATCGCTAGGCAACCGCCCACGACAACAATAGAAGAAATTATTTAATTCCTGGTACTCATTTCTGTTAGATGCTGAGTCGACCCCAGGGCCACAGTGCGGCTGGAAGGATCAGGTCAATTGAAAAAGTCCAGTGACCTCATCGGGACTTGAACCCGCGACCTTCTGGCTTGCAGCATAGTGCCTCAACCAACTACGCCACCGCGTGCCCCCGTATTGTTTATAATCTTCCTATATATTATACAGTCATCTGAGAAAAGTCTAATACTTGACCCAGCATTTCTCCCTATACCATTTGCGTACACGAGGAACAGTGTTGTCCAGGTTACAGTTTTATGCGACGTAACATGGAGAGTGGTGAAGTGACCCGTTAAAGCAGTGTGTTCAGTTTCGAAAACTGTAATTCGCTTCTCGAAATGTAATGGCAAATGCAAATATTGTTGCTCCATTGCGCATGTCTCAGGTGTACTATTCCGATTTTGAATAATAATAACAAATCATTATCATTAATCTTCATTAATCATCTTCAGTCGATCATATTGAGTTATCATGAATGATTATTATTATACACAAGCATCACAACACACAGACAAGCAACATCAACTACCTACAGACAACACACGTCAGCAACACCCCGAAGCAAAAAGATTGGGCCAAGCGGGAAAGAATTCTAGGAATTTTAAGAATTCTTACTTCAAATAATGAAACATAATTTTACAGAAGTAACGACGAACAAATAAGAAAGCTACTGTGGTGTGTGAAAAACTTTTAGTGAACCGATACTCTGGGTAATTTTAACTATTTGTAATTATTTTAATTAACTGGAACGTGGTTATCTTTGACAAAGTGAAGTTTTGTGTGTTGGTGATTTCTTTTTCTACTATAAATGCCTCTGATGATGGCTCCGTGGTGAGCCGAAACATGTAAGGCAGGTGGTGACGAGGTGGAAAACTTAAAAAAGTGTCACATTTGACGGAAGGAACTTGATTGTTGATTGTTAATTATAAAGATGTTTGTCTTCCTCGTATGAAAACGAGTGATTAACTTGGCAGGTGCCTATTTGCTGCGGCCTATTGGAATATAAACAAGGTGTTTCGAACAGAACTCTTCACTCTCCTGTGGCATAAATCTCCAGTCCTGCAGATCTGTTTCTTGTGAAGAACGTATTGCTGAAGTACAGATACACATGTAAGTTTTGAGGTTTTCACGGCGATGACTATGAAGAAAGTTGTCTTCTGGGTTTAGGCACCTTGTATTCTTCGTTTTGGCCGGCGTAGCAGTAGCTACTGCTCTCTGCATTCCAAGCCATTCAACTGCTCTGAAGATGGAGGCGCTACGTTCCTCCGAAACGTCGGCCAAAACGAAGAATACACGGTGCCTAAACCCAGAAGACAACTTTCTTTACAGATACACATATTCGTCTAATACAACCTCGAAGTTTCTCATTTCCGCAATATTTGTAATTTTTGACTGCAAACAATTTTCATTCGTAATATGTAGGTGTGTCTGGCCTATATCCATACCAAATTTCACCCCCCCTAGCAACAGTGGTGCATTAGTTATAGGCATCAGATCAAAAGACAAATGAAAGTTTCACACATAGCGCATGATTGTATTTTGAATTTTCCAAAGAGAAGGAAGCAGAAGAAGAAGAAGCCTTGATTAACGCAGCATATGTGACGCAATAGCTTGAAAACGATCTGATCTTAGTGTATGAAATATTGATGAAAGGGCTGAGTTGGAGAAATTAAGATATTTATGAAAAGTTAGGCATCATCAGTATTAAAATATCCCGAAGTCAATGCTCGTAACGGTTTCTTGCCAATACGTAATAAATATTCCTGTCTGTTCTGATATAAATCAAATGGAAGAACCTCTTTTGAGATTTTCTCTTTAACAGTAGGTTCCAGTTTAATTTACTGTATGTTTGTTTTAGCCCTGAGAAGAAAATATGGCTTCAGAGGCCAATCATTTTCATAGAATCTACTGAGCATGCGTTGTACTCATAAAGAAATGGAAGTTTTAATGAATTTCGGTACTTACATGGTGACGAGACTGCTCTGTTTCCCGTCCCCTCTCGGCTCCTCCCTAGAAATGTAGGGTACAAAGTAGGTGAAGGGTAGCACGTGATCCGGAATCACCTAAGTAATAAAGATAAAGGAGATAGTATTACTTAAAGTAGAGAAATAGTATGCAGCTATTATCTGACAGCATTGCAGTACACATCAGCTACTTTGTTCCCAGTGCTCCTAACGATACTCTATGCACTACAGAAATAATTGTGAGCGAGGTTCGTAATAAGTTCATAGCAGTATTATGCAGTATTATGAATTGGATGGATGAGGCGACAAAAATAATAATTCCCTCCAAATTAATACCAGCGCAATTTTGTAGACAGAAACGATGCCTCATTGATTATTAGTGTTTTTTCTTTGTGTTAAATCAGGCCATGAATAGTGATCTGAAGCCCAAAGTACCCACGGTATCTGGCACGCAGTTCCAAGTCGAAAATAATAGGCATGAAGTCATTCTTGTTCTTGTAATGATAACTTTGTATGTAATAGTTGAGGTTTTCACGGCGGTGACTATGAAGAAAGCAGTCTTCTGGGATGTGGGGCCGTGTAGATATTGTGTTAACCGACGTTTCGGAGGAACGTATCGCGGATTTGTTCTACCCTGAAGATGGAGGCGATACGTTCCTCCGAAACGTCGGTTAACACAATATATACACGGCGTCACATCCTAGAAGACTGCTTTCCGGATACCAGTGGCTTTTTTCCGCAGGGAGAAAGCGGCCGAAGCTTAAAGCTGGTCACTCACTAGCGTCGAGGTCAAGAATGGCGACGCTGTACTTCCACTCGTACATACGTCTTCATGGCATAATGCTTAATTAATTAAGCACAGGGACATCAGCCTTCTTTATTAACCGCTTCCTGTGTTTGGCATCGCCGTCTTTAAAGGGACTGACGGGACAGAGGTCAGGAATCCGGGGACGCAGCCCTGGACCTCTTTGAGTACCGCTGAACGTTTAGTATTGGGCTGCGCCAAGAATACTGACCACAACGATCAGATTCTCGTCTGATCGGTTTTGTTCCTACGCGCAAGTTGCAGTTTACGGCCCATGAACAAGACGCAGTCACTGAAATTGCATCCAGACGTACCAATCTGTGCTTGTCATGCCTTTCTTAAGCTGTGCACTTGTGTAAAATGCTTGAATCGATTAATATTTGGATAAAAAGGTAAAATTACCTCTGTAAGGGGCCTTGGAGGCCCATGGGGTTGTGAGACGTCGAGATTCCCACATTTTCCTAGACAGTCACTCACAGATGGCAGTGAGATCGTCAGACTTATGCGGCGGCCGCACTTTGCGTAGTACAGAACATTCTAGTCAGGGAAATTACAGCAGAGTAGTGTCTTCTAAGAACTGGATTAAAGACCTCACCTGGCCGGAACTTAGGAAGTAAGTTCTAGCACTCAGTGGCCAGTGGAAATCAGACAAAATGTGTATGAGCACCCATTTCTCCCCGACATTTTTGCGAACTAGAATTAAAACGATTTGCACACAGTTTTGATTTTTTCGACCACAAATACAATTTGTATCAAGAATTTGCGGCTTCGTTGTCTGCATTGAACTTGCTGAAGTGGCTCTGAACGTTTAAGGACAGTTTATAATCAACACACATTTTACCTAAATTGCTTCCTACAGAATATTAATTAATGCACAGTAGGTAATACATTTTTAGTACTGTGAACACTTCGGCATGGCAGTGGGGGAGGGGGGTGTGCTGATAATCCGTGCAGCTGCGCGTAAGAGGCCCGGACAGAGCACCTGCCGCAGATGCAGCTGATCTGACGCTGTGTCACTTCCGACAGACATCCGTTTGCACGAATATCCTGCAGCCTTTTCGGTGCACCTGTTTGGCGCCGGGACGCCTAGACGCCGTCCCAGGCAATGAGAAATCCACCCGCCCCCCCCCCTAGATATTAAAACCAGATAATCGTTCTGATAACTTCGTGACGAATAGTAACGCGAATTTTCCAGGTAATGGGGCCGTAATTCTTAAAGCTATTCTGTGTGCTTGTGCTTTTTTGCTTAGCATATTTGGATCTGTCAGTTAATGGCCACGAAAGGACAAAAGAGAACCAGAAATTTTCGTTTCTCTCTCCCCCCTCCATATCTATACAGTGTTCGTCCCGAGTCAACTGTTGCGCAGGCGCTGGTGAGGCCGAAAGCAACATTCCATCATAATTAGGGACCACAGCTAAACACTTAGGATATGATTTCAAAAATTTTAAGATTGATTAATATGTTCACTCCATAAGATCTAAAAGTTTGTGATGATGGTAAATTGTTACAATTAATATGTTGCTGGACATTATCCATCATCTTGTCTGTTCTTAAAAAAACGTCTAGTTTCTATTAAAACACAACGTTTCGGGAACTGGAATCTGTCCCCGTCTTCAGGTGAAACCTACTCAGTTGGGTCCAATAGACAGAGCTAGCCCCTATCTCCGGACCGGAGGTTTTACCTGAAGACGGGGACAGATTCCAGTTCCCGAAACGTTGTGTTTTTAATAGAAACTAGACGGTTTTTTAAGAACAGACAAGATGATGGATAATGTCCAGCAACATATTAATTGTAATGTTCACTCCATATTTGTTGAAATGAACAAGAAGTTCTTGGAAGAACTAATGGTCCCTTTTCTCATCACGATAATTTGAGCATCTGATATGACAAGTAGAAACAAAACGTCTGTATGTGTGCGTAATGAAGTGAATAAAACGATAAAATTTGAGACCCTGAAGTACAGGCATTACTGCTGGAGCGGTTCACAGCTGAGTCGAGAAATTCTCTTAAGGACGAAGATGTTGAAACGGAGGCGTGGAATTCGTTGAGACAACAGTCAGGAGAGACTGTATGCTGCAGGTTTCGGCGCACCGGTAAAGCGATGGACAAGTGTACCAATGTTGGTGGAGAATATGTCGAGAAATAAATGTTTTTCTTTTCTTTTCCAGGTTGGAATATCACGTTTTACATTTTATATGCATCTGTGAACTATTTACTGATCTCCCTCGTATCTTAATTATGCTTTCAAACGGAACCCAGATAACTTGCAGAAACACGATGCACCTGCTGGAAGTCAGTCTACCCACTTATCGGCAGCTCAGTATACTGAAGGACCAATAACCGCTCGCAGGATATTCGATGACGTAACTCATTAACACAGAGAACATGTTTACTGTAGCGATAACACTCATCTGCATCTAGGAGGTAGCCGGGCGGAACCGCAGCCTCTCTACAGACTGTCGTTAAAGAGGTCTTTGTGATTATCTTCTAACTAATACCTTGAAGCATGCAACAACTGCCCCATTCTATATTCTTACATATATTTCCTCATTTGACTCAATGTTCTATTTATTAATTTCGCAGTTGCCGAAAGCAACAATGAAACACACCAACATCACGGATTTTCAACTATACTTACCAGAGTCAAGCCATCTGAAGCGTAAGTCTGAAGTTTACTGTAGTATTGAAGTCGATTGCTAGTCATTGAGGTACTCATTTGTTTCTCCCAACTGGTGTCGCCCTTCCGGAAGTTGTTGGCATGGTACGTGAATGGTCTCCTACAGTAACGAGAAGGATTGTTGCTGTAGTGACAGACCAAGGCCTTGGGGACCTCCAACGTTGTTATCACTCACCAGAGTACATAACTAAGTGGCTTGTGACTAGTCAATATATACTCGTTACTATCGCATCATTTCATTAACGTGTAACACCGTTGCTATGCAGCGCAGTGGCAGGTTTTCTCCGAGTATTTCGCTTTCCCCATCATCTAACATCTGGGGCTGGTACAGTAGGCCAGTAGTGGCCACTGTACCAACTGGACTCAATGTCGCCCCACTAAGAGACCGTCTCTGTGGTCCAGTGGTCAGCGTTCCTAGCTACAGATCCAGAGGTCCGGGTTCGAGTATTTTCTGAGTAGTAGTGGGTTTGGAACGGGGTCCACCCAGCCTCCTGAGGATAATTGAGGAGCTATTTCAAGGAAATAGCCGCTCCGGTCTAGAAATCCGAAATCAACGGCCGTGGGGATTCGTTGCACCGACCACGCGACACCCTCTATCCGCAAAAGTTGGCACTAAACTTCACCGACAAGCGGCGGTCGCTCGGTCGGTATAGTTCGCTTGCGGACTAAAATCACGGAGTTTGTATGTTACAGCTTGTGTTCTTCCTGTCTGGTGTATGACTGGAGTAAATGACAGTGAAACGTACAAAAGGAAATGGAGAAATCGGAAAAGTTTGGCGATAATACACTGTCTGTGACAGCAATAAAATATGGACTTCCGGTGAAGAAATGTGTAATGTTGGGACGCCTGAAAGGCGACGGTCGGATCAGCAGTGAGTCACGGAATGTGTCCCATCCTTGACAATAGTGGAGTAGGAGAAGCAAGGGATTTATAAGCACCCAGTAGGGAGAAGGTCTCCAGGTTTCACGGGGTTAGGGTGGGGTACTGAATTTTTGTTTACATCAAGCTCCTTATATCACTTGATCGCTATTTTTCTTGGTCTCAGAATCAGTTACTTCCCGTGTAGTATACTAAATGGGTGCGAATGTTTCTGACGAAACTGTGGCCTCCATCTTCAGGAAAACAGGTTCCTCCGAAACACTGGGTATCCATCTCCCAAAATGCATGGCGCTACATCCCAAAACACCATAATTTTGAGTTGCGTTTTAAATCTGTAATCTTTAAACAATGTACTCGTGACTTATTCGTAAATATACACTTCTGAATATATTTGGAAAGGAGACAATTCAGTTGGCCGGAAGGCGGAGAATTGTTAACTTGAAGGCTTGTACAATACATGAACAGTAAAGTACGTATGTCTCCCCCGTTACTGTCTGTTCTCGACGCCATTGCGCGGAAATTTCCTGCACCTCTTCCTCAATTACCTGGAAGAGTTGTACAGCTCTGCAGGTCGCGGGCGTGGAGCAGGCGCTGCTGACGTCACTGGCTTCACTGGGGTAGACTCGAAGTCACTGGTCTCTGAATCAGGGAAGATAAATGTCGTTGTGGTACTGTGAACGAATACGATAAGAACTGCGTGTCACAAATATATTCACAGCAAACAAGAAGGATATGAGTTCATGAACACAGATTCTGGGAGGTCATAGTATCGGTCATTCTGAGCGAAATTGTGTGTACATATGTCCTGTACCCTGTACAGACGAGCAACACGCCATGTCCTCACACGAGTTGCACCGACATAGAGCTATGTCACTGTACAGTACACTGTATCCTGTACAGACGAGCAACACGCCATGTCCTCACACCAGTTGCACCAAGATAGAGCTATTTGACTTTACAGTACACTGTACAGACGAGCATGTCCTCACACGAGTTGCAGAGTGCATTGATGTTGACGGTGGAATTTTCGAAAGTGTATTACACTAGGTAACTGCACCAACTTTGTCACTTGAACAGTAAATTAGAAGCAGCACCTAATATCATTTTCCTATCAACAGTTTTGGATCTGTGTACAGTGAAATAGATCTATATCCGAACCCGTTCGGAATAGCACACATTTTTTTGCTTAGTTGGTTGAGGCACTATGCTACAAGCCGGAAGATCGCGGTTTCAAGTCCCGATGATGTCATTGGATTTTTTTCAATTGACGTAACCCTTCCAGCCGCAGTATTGCCCTCGGGTTGACTCAGCCTCTAACAGAAATGAGTACCAGGAATATTCTTGGGGGTAAAGGGCGGCCGGCGCGTAGGGCTGACAACCTTGCCGCCATCTATGAGCCGATTGTCTGGAAAATGTGGGAACCTCAACATCTCACAACCATCTCACGGCCTGTTACAGGGATACCTTTACTTTACTTAGAATGACCGATACTATGACCTCCCAGAATACTGACTTTTCCTCCTGGGGCATCCTGTATAATCAGAAACCAAGGAAGTTTGCTCTAGCGGTCATTCGTCTGCCTTGTATTCGCGAGGTGCTTGGCCGGAGCACAGATTACGCTGACGGCCTGTCACAGTTTCTCAGTCGCTCCAGTCATTCCGAAGGGTGCACCACAAATAAAACATGTTCGCTTCTTCCCGTATCCTTTCCAACATAATGTAATATGCAGACTCTATAAACGCCCGCTGCTAGGCAACAGATTCGTAACAAGCAACAATTGAACAGCAACAGAGGAACGGCGTTTTCTGTGCTGTTCTTGTCGAGAGGTTATAAGCGGGGCAAGTCAAGAGTTTGGCCAGTTTTAAGACATTCGCCAACCGGTAAGGACGTAGGCAGAGGACATTGGTAGGATCCATTACCAGGAAACGGCTAGTGAAAACTGAGAATTAGTATGTGCTGTAATGAACTGCGGAGTGTGTGAATTCGCTATGGCGCTGTAGTTGTAGTTACGATGTGTAACTGTTAAATAAATCCAAACCCCGTCTATAATCACTCATATACGTGACATTATTATTCACTAGTGACCTTGCTATTCGAGTCTATGTAGTCCGAGTTACTGACAGCATCGTTAAATAACCCATAAATGAGAAAAACTAATAAATGAATTTGAGCACTCGACACTGATTAACTGTGCCACTTACAAAGCCCGACGTTTCGTCCCTGGAAGTAGGAACCGAAGTCTCGTACGTTTTGACGAGATGGCCGGGCACGTGGCATGTCCGATTCGCATCTGGGAAGCGTGCACTTCAAATCTCCTCAGGCATCCACTTATCAAGGGTACATTTTCCTCAGTCTCTCCAGACAACTTTCTCGGACTGTGCCATGAAATTGGCCACAGATACATCCGTTATGCTTCTCATCACTTTGTGATTCCACTCCCCATAACGTCAACATCGGTTGCGTAACCGCAGAGCGCATGCGTACTGACCGCTCGACCTTGACCGCACAGACAGGGTCACGGAATAGGTCAAAAAGCTGGTGTCAGGTTTCTTGACGCGGAAACGGCAGTTCAGTGCCACGCATAGGCGCCGCCTGTTTATCCGGTGGGAGGCATAGAATTTCCTTTCAAACTTATTGTACTCGTAGATTTTGAACGGTTGTGACGATGGTACATAACACGCGGGATTACTGGGGTTTTGGACTTCCTCCATCGTCCTGTATTCTGAAGAACACACACACAACGTTGGAAACTGGATCTCTCAATCACTGGACCAGTCCGATGATTGTGGTTAGCTCTTTCTAACGGACCCAACAGAATAGATGCCTCCCACACCCACACATGAGGACGGAAACACATCCAGTTTCCGAAACGTCGTATTGTTCAGTGTTTTTAGGATATGTATGGTAGTTGGTTGAGGCACTATGCTACAAGCCGGAAGGACGCGGGTTCGATTCCCGATGAGGTTATTGAATTCATTCAATTGACCTAATCCTTCCAGCCACACTATGGCCCAGGGGTCGACTTAGCCTCTAACAGAAATGAGTACCAGGAATCTTCCTGGGGGAGGTAAGGAGCGGCCGGCGCGTAAGGCTTACAACCTCACCGCCATCCTCAGTGTTATGGACCAAAAATATATCTCTATCCGAGGTGCCCCAGGAGGAAAGGTCAACATTCTGGGAGGTCACAGTATCGGCCATTTTAAGCGAAAAATTGTGCATGTACACGTGTTCTATTTCGAACGGTTTCCGGTATAGAAACATTTCACTGTACAGTTGCAAAACTGTTCTTAAGAGAGCGATATTACGTACCGTTTCTTATAAGGTGACGTAAAGGTGTCACTGTGCTTAACTGATTAAGCACTAAGCCGTGAAGGCGCTTGATACTGTTTCTAATACCGATACTTATTTTTCAGGTGACAAAGTTGGTACAGTTTACCTAGTAAAACCTATCCCTGTAACAGGCCGTGGAGGCCCATAGGGTTATGAGATGTTGAGGCTCCCACATTTTCTAGACAGTCGGCTCACAGATGGCGGTAAGGTTCTCAGCCTTACGCGCCGGCCGCCATTTGCCCCTAAGAATATTCCTGGTACTCATTTCTGTTAGAGGCTGAGTCAACCCCAGGGCCATAGTGCGGCCGGAAGGTTTAGGTCAACTGAAAAAAAAAATCCGTCATCAGGACTTGAACCCGCAGCCTTCCGGCTTTAGGATAGTGCCTCAACCAACTACGCTACCGCGTGCCCCCATACAGTTTACCTAGTGTAATACATTTTCGAAAATTCCACCGTCAACATCAACGCACTTGCAGCTGCTTTGAGGACATGGCGTGTTGCTCGTCTGTACAGTGAAACAGCTCCATCTCGGAAACCGTTCGGAATAGGACACATGTACATATACACCTTTTTGCTTAGAATTACCGACACTATGACCTCCCAGAATGATGACCTTTCCTCCTGGGACACCCTGTATATATAATCCTTTAGAAGCGTTGACCCTGAAGATGGAGGCAGAATGTACCTCCGAAAAGTCTGCAAAATTGCCCATATCCACGCGGTACAAAGACCCACGCGCAGCGTAAACATTTAAAACCTTTTAAACTCTCAAATTTGAAAATGAAGATGCATTTCCGTGCCATTAAAAACATGAACTTACCCAAAACTTCTGCGGCTTGTTTGGCTGGCGTCGGATGACACTAAAGGGTGTGATTCACTGCCCGAATCATAGTCGGACTGGTTATAGGACTTCCATCCCTGCGACTTGGGGTCGACTTTGTCGTACATCTTTGATATTTGTATGGAGAACAGAATGCTTAGCGCACACCAGTTGGGATGTTTAATAAGAGATACTGGTCGAGATTACAAAAAATTGATCTAGAGGGAATTTCCGGTGAACCCCCGGCAGAAACTCGAGTCACTGTACTGCAACGAATGTTTCATATTGCGTTCTGCACAGCAGTGCTGCCCGACGGACTAAGAGCTCGTTATTAAGACTGAACTGTGACGTTACCATTGAAATCCCAAGACGTGGCTTATCATTGATGTTACGTTTGAGATTATCCTTCAACAAACAGACTCTGTTCTTCGTGGCAACAAGCCAATTCAAATTAACCCTATGTAAGCCCCATCACGTTGTTCGAACGCTACTTGGGATTACTGTGCTTCTGGACTTTACCATCCGGTATTCTGCAGAATGGCAGTATGTTCTTATCTCCACCTCCCCATGGCTCATTTAGACGATATATGTATTCTTCGGTATATTTAGTGAGAGAACAGTAGAAAATGTGAAAACAAAGTCCCGTGGCAGATGAAGTGGCGTCACAATGATATAACTGCAGCATAAACCATTTAATTATCTCTACACTTCTTGTGACGTTGAGAGAATTATTAAATTTACCACTTCCTCCGCGTGTGACGCATAGAAAGGAAAGAAAATAATATTATAGCTTGTAGAGCCGTTGCTATGCAACGAACGCGAGATGGGCGGATATACCAGGGCTTTTTCCCGGCAACGGCTCGTTAAACACGTTACCGTTGCTAGGCAGCAGATTCTTAATAATGCAACAGTTGGACAAAAACAATGGAAGAGCTTTGTTTTGTAAGTTGCCCGTGCCGAGAGATTATAAGCGAGACGAGGTTTAGAGCTTAGTTGAGAGTCAGTTCTGTACGGGAGTGTGTGAAGAGCGGACTTGAGCCGGAGGCAGAGGAATAACATGTATAGGAGCCGTTACTAGGAAAGGTATAGTAACAGACTGAGAACATTAGACTGTGTGCTCTACTGAACTACCAGCGATAGCGGTAACGTTATAGTTATTTGTAGTTACGGCCTGTAAGTGGTCGATAAATCTATTCACCGATCGAAACCCCGTCTATAGTCACACACGTGAAAATATCCATTAAATATTACTATCGTCCTGGGGTCGACTCAGCCTCTGTCAAAAATGAGTACCAAGAATCTTCCTGGGGGTAAGGGCTGCCGGCGCGTATGGCTGACAACCTCGCCGCCATCTATGATCCGATTGTCTAGAAAATGTGGGAGCCTCGACGTCTCACAACCCTATGGGCCTCCACAGTTTTACCTTTTTAAAATATTACTCGGAGACTGTAGGTAAAGATCGCTTTGGCAGTTTCAGGGCTCTAAACCTGAGGCTTCGATTTCTTCGTAGATCAACCATTGATGTCGGCTGCAGAGATTGTGTATAGTGTGCGAAAGAGTGCAACCGAGAGGGTCTGCATTCCCGGAAGCCTACTCCAAGATACAAGGGGAAGGTAGGAACTGTCTCTTCAGGATAGGCAGTCCCGGTGAACATTCTAACCGAGAAGAACTGTGTCTGGAATAGCGTAATGTCCATGATGGAGTTCAGCGTCTGACTTCCTTGTCGCCGAGGAATTCATTTTTACTAATTTTTTATACATATTTCCTTCAAAGGCGATACAAGGCGTCGAGATAAATAATGTTTGTTTCTTTAAATATGCTCCGCATGTCTATGGATGCCAGAATAATACTCCGAAACAGGTCACGGCTACTTCTAACAAGATTTCTTCCAACTCTACGTATTTTTCATCATAGATATATCCGGAGTGTAATAACATGCATGTCGGTGGTCTTGACACGAAAATGTTTAGTGCTGTAATTGTGTTTACGCAGCTAATGGGCTAGCTGGAGAACAGAACAGACTTGGAAAATCGAAGACGAAATTTGGCGACAGATATAAAAAATCGTTGACGTCTACAGTGTTGATAATGTTAATGATGAAATTGTGACACGCGTATTGCCTTCCATTAGTTTTAAGTGTTTCTTACTAAAGGAAAATTAAGTGCCTTAAACCTTGATATACTCGTTTTCTTACTTTTTCTACGTACACTGGTAATTCAGTGTTTGCAGGTCCGAGGGTAGTTCCAGATTTCCTTTGGTCTTTGAACTCTGTCTTCACAGGTCCGTGTTTCTTGTGGGTCACTTTACAAACATGCAAAAATATATAGATTATACAGCGTTCAGTAGGATGATGGTCTTGGCCTAAATGGAGGCACTATACCGAGAGTTGAACCTTCAGAATACGGGTCTATAATATTATGGAAACCGGCTCGATTGTAAGTCTATGTATTTAAACTATCCCTGTAACAGGCCGTGGAGGCCCATAGGGTTGTGAGACGTTGAGGCTCCCACATTATCTAGACAATCGGCTCAGAGATGGCGGTGAGGTTGTCAGCCTTAAGTGCCGGCCGCCCTTTACCCCCAGGAATATTCCTGCTACTCATTTCTGTTAGAGGCTGCGTCGACCCCAGGTCCATAGTGCGGCTGGAAGGAATAGGTCAATTGAAGAAATGCAATGACCTCATCGGGAATTGAACCCACCACATTCCGGCTTGTAGCATAGTGCCTCAACTATGAATAGATGGTCACTGGAAGAAGAAAAAAATTGGTTAGCACATTCATGTGCATGACATAGAAAGACAATGTAACAGAGGCAATGCTCATGGGTTTCATTTTGCGATAATGTGAAATGTGATGAAGTGTGCACCATTGTAGTCAATCATATCTCAGCTGAGGACTGAAAAAGCCAAGCTGAAATTTACATTATATTTGGGGAAAACCTAACAAATGTTATGTACATGAAAGTTGTATTTTTTTTTCAGGAGTAATGTGATCAAGTATTTTAATGTTTGTGTTGTATTGAGTATTAAGGTAATTATGAATGTCTTTAGGCCGCACCATAGCTCAAGCGGTTAGTAGCTGGCTTCCCGCTGCGGCGGCCCGAGTTCGATCCTGGGTCTGGTTAAGTGGACAAAGTGGCGCTGGGGCAGGTTTTCTCTGAGTACTTCGGTTCCCCCTGCCAATCTTCATTCCACCAATTGCTCCACAATCACCCTCACCTATCATCTGGGGCTGGTATAATAGGCCAGAAGTGGCCGCAGTACAAGGGACTTAGTCCCACCCCACTACCAATAAAAAAAATGAATGTCTTTATGTCCATCAGCACAACAAATCACTCATATAATATATAATGATATAATACTAGTTATTTATTATTACAGTACCGTGACTTGTTTCAGTCCGTTAGATTACCTTCAGGTAATCACAATATGTGGATATTGGTTAACATTATATACAATGAAAGTAAAATTTGAGAAACAAAAATGATCTTTTATGCTGCAATTTCTATATGCACTTGTGTACACATTGCTGATACAGAAATTTCAACATAAAAGCGACCTTATTTTTTAGAATTATCTTATTCTACGTAATATTAACGTCCAATGACATGTTCATAACAGTGCTGTAAAACTGAATACAATTCCTAATTAATTTTAATAGCATTAACTTTTTTTTTAATTTTTATTTGTAAACTGTTACCACCCGAAAGCATAATGTATTATTATGTCGCTATATACTATAATACAACTAATTTGTTGTGTTAACGGGTATAATGACAATTGTAACTGATCAAGTATACTTGTTTAACGTTAAAGTCAAATTATGACACGTGCATAGCTATACAATAACATTAATTTCTTCCCTTTATACTAATATGCACGTTGCCTGCAGTATGTACGAATAAAAATTCCGGTCTGCAAATCGTGATTCTGCGCTAGAAGTGTGATCAATTCTGCTATATCTCGCAAGTACGAACATTGCTCTGAACGTTCGCTTACTTAGGAAAAATTCGTGCATGAGTAGTAAACACGTCCTATGATAGGCACACTGTAGTTATCTTCAGTATTTTTAATAGTACACATTTCTGTAGGGAAAATGGTTAGGGATATTTTATGTGTAGAACTTTACATCGTTGGCCACCATGGTATGGTGTTTCTTTTTTTTTTTTTATCGAAGTTCGTCCTTGGGAATTATGGGTAGATCACAGTCTGAAATCGGCGTAGGTGAATGAGGAGCGTTACGTAGGTTTGGTTGTGTTTCTTATGTAAATTCTTGCTCCAGCATTTGTACACTATCAAAACATTCCTTTCTTTTTGTGTGTGCAAACAATTTTACTTTGTATCAGTGGTGATTTAGTTAGATTTTACGCTCTAATGGAATTCAGATCGTCAACAGTACACACTAAGCCTTTCGATGATCAAAAGCCGGGTACCAGCGGGCTGAGGAAGAAAGTCAAAGTTTTTCAGCAGAAGAATTACACAGAAAATTTTGTTCAAGCTATATTGAATTCACTAGGTGATGAGTTAAAAGGTTCGGTGCTTGTCCTAGGAGGCGATGGCAGATATTATGTCAAGGATGCAGCAAAATTGATCGTCAAAATGTGTGCCGCCAATGGGGTTTGTATTGTGTGCTTAAAAGTCGTAGAATATAAATTTTATTGAAGCACTGGTTAAGCTGTTGGCAGTTTTCTCAACATACGCGTGTTTCAGATATGAAGCTGTGCATATATGGAATCTAGGGCGAATACTAATGGTACGCCCTGTTAAACTATTATGTATCTTAACGTTGTTGAAAAGTTCAAGTTAGATTGGATACTTTTGCCGTCGATATAGGCTGTTATTATCATACAGAATAGCAGAAGATTTTCTTTTCAAAATTGTGAGACAATACCCGTGTGCATTTTTCATACACAGTTCATATTGTTTAATTCATTTTGTTTTTGTATCGAAAGCAATGTATTCTACTCGTGTGCATTTCCTTTATTAGCTATTACAACCAGAGAAAATTGTGTTTTTAATAGATGAATGGATGTTAAATATATTTTCGGGTATGTGACACCATGCAGTTTAGTAAATGGATACAAATGATCTGGAGAAATCTGCTGCCTTCATGCATTGTTGCATCCCATACAAAGGCATTTGCATGATGTTTGATGAATGCAAGGAAAAGGATAAGTTAAACACTTTGCTAGAGTCTGGGATTTATGAACCCTTGCCCAAATTTCCCATAGCCAAGGTTGAGAGGAAAGTACTGGAACTCTTCCAAACACAAAACTGCTCTTCCTACTGATCTAAAACATAAGTTGACTACACATCACAGCAAAACTCCACATTTGTATGGTCTTTTGAAGATTCACAAACCAGATATTCCTCTGATACCTATAGAGAATTCTGTTGGTTCCCCTTCCTATGCCCTGGCTGATGTTATGCGTGAGATACTGAGTCATTTTGCCAGAAAATGAAATACTCTGTGAAGACAAATATAAATCACTCCGTCCAATGTGTCCTGTAAGTTTTTTACTACATGAAAACTTAACACGCTGTAGTAAAAAACTTACAGGTCACATTGGACAGAGTGATTTGTATTTGTAATTGTTAGTGTGACGGACCAGAATGAAACAAATCAAACTCTGTGAAGAGTTCTAGCCACTTCATGCAGTTCTTGAAGTCTGTAAACCTGCAAAGTTTATTATTGACAGGCATTAAAATAAAGGCCTCTTATTGAGAATTGTGTAAGAAATTGGCTGTACTTCCTCCTACTCTTATTGCTGTCATTTGTTGTGGATAACAGGGAATGTTGAAACAAATTCATACATGTACAATATAAATGCAGCATGAGTGAGGTCTTAGTATGTAAGATGCTAACCCCACTAGACTAGCTATGATTACAAGCTTAAATCATGATGCGAGATATTTAGGTCAGCATTAAAGAAATTATATCTTATCTTCTCCTGAATAGACTAGTGAACTTTGATTTAAAATTGTGAAATATTGAAAATATTTATGAAGACAGCATTTCTTTGACATAATTATTTATCTCACTCCTGGCGCTGAGCCCTTCTTGAGAAGCTTCCATTTGTGCAGCTACTCGAGAACTTCCCAGCATTATAGGGAACCCGAAGGTTCATTACCGTGTTCACAAAAGCCCTCCACAGGTCCCTATCCTAAGCCAGATCAATCCAATCCATCCAATCTCTCTTAAGATCCATTTCAACATTGTCCACCTACCTACATCTTGGTCTTCCCAGTGGTCTGTTTCCTTCTGGTTTTCCTTCCAATATCCTATATGCATTCTTCTTCTCCACCATTCGTGCTGCATGCCCTACACATGGCATTCTCCTTGACTTGATCATTCTAATTATACTTGGAGAAGAGTACAAGTTATGAAGCTCCTCATTATGCAGTTTTCTCCAATCTCCTGTCACTTCATCTCTCTTTGGTCCAAATATTCTCCTCAACACCCTATTCTCAAACACCCTCAGTCTATTTTCCTCCCTTAATGTCAGAGACCAAGCTTAACACCCATACAGAACCACAAGCAAAATTATAGTTTTATATATTGTAATTTTTATGTTTTTGGACAGCAGACAAGAAGACAAAAGGTTCTGGACTGAATGGTAGCAAGCATTACCCGAGTTCAATTTCCTCCTTAATCAGGTTTCGGTTTGTTATCATCATTCCCAAGTATCTGAACTATGCCACATTTTCAAAACATCTGTTACTTATCTTTATGTCCTGATTTTGCCCCGCATTTTGGTGATGAGACATCTCTGTGGAATATAATATTCTTATCAAGATATCTGTAAATAACTGTAAGAACCAGCTGCACTTGTGTTTCTCTTTAAGCATTATGCTTGCAGTTATATTTGAATTATGACATGTTCTGCGTTCTTGGCTTAGTCCTATAAAAAACAAATTCTGATTTAAATTCAGTTATTACAGCTGTAGTTAGGTTAGGTTAAAATGTCTGTGTTTTGAAGTTTGCTCTCATCTGAGAAGTTCAGTAATCCAGATTGCTTACAGTCTATTTAATTTGTATACATTCCCTACAGAACGGACGATACTTTGTAAGATGAGGCACCGACTATACAATTAACATTAATTTACTACATCTACATCACGAGCCGCCTATACAATTTTATATACACAAAATATAGAATATTCCAATTTGTCTGTGGGAACACAACAAAACTACAAAACCAACAACTGATTCGATGATGTAAAGCATCAATCTAAGGATTTTATTCTAGTTTTATACTAGAACTTCTGTTTATATAATCTGATTTATTGTATTTTTACGTCAAGTGTTTTATATAATTAATAGTATTGTATCCAATTTTGCTAGTGCTGTGGTTCAGTGGTATATATGTGTTAGCCGTGCATTTGCCTGATGATGGCTATTGATAGCCGAAACTGGGCACTGATCACCGCCACGTAGGAATGGTTCAAAAAATAGGCTTCGACAGCAAACGCACACTGCTCACTTGTCCACCTCATGTTTCCTATTGAGGGGTATTAGACAGAAACTTCTGTGACTGCTGCGTTCGCCGAGCCTATCCCCACTTTTCTGCGACCTCCCCTCCCTTCACAGTGCGTCTTCACAAAAAGGAAGTTTCTGCGCCCCACTCTGTATATGCATGTGTACATACATTTTTGCACTCTTTTCCTTCTTCATTTTTGTCTTCTGATATCATGTATATTGTCAGAATTCTGTACACATGTGCAGACTGCAGTGGATTTTACTGTCACAACCACTAGTTTGGTTTTACTCACACCAGAATACATATCTTTTCTCTCCAGAGCAAGTCTGTTGAAAGTTCACTGAACTGGCATTTTTTCATGGTTTTTCTCAGTTCCTCGAGGCAAGTGATGGATAATACTGTCTGTTGGGATAAATATATTACTGGACATAGCACCCCACTCCTTCACTCTTTGAGCATATGCAGTGGACACAACCTATTCTAATCATCACTTTATCACTTCCATGAAGTCCCTGTCATATATATACCAGTACGTAGTAATCAGCACTTTGGTTTTTATTATCGCTTTTTTTGTTTTATCATGGCCTTGGTACATGTGGAGTTGAAGTGATTGATTACTTAACACTTTGGTTTGTTCTTGAGCTCTAATGTGAATATGAACATTTTAATGGTAACTGTTTTCAGAAAAGACAGTAGATAATCAGCTTTAAAAATAATATATCTAATTTTTTATTCTAATATTTTCTTTATTTGTTTTTAATGGTATGTGTGTGGATTTTCAGAAAGTGACAGTTCCATTTTTATTGATGGCTCAGTTGAAAAAATAGTGGGCAGTCAAAATGTTTTATATTGCTTGATTTTAAGTTTTCTTTCTGACCACTTCTGCCTTTTTGTGTACACATTTCCTCACTGAACAGCTGCATTATTGTTTCATCAGTTATTGTTATGAATTAAATTGTGTCCCCCAGTGATCACAGTGAGTAGGGTCCACTGTAACGAGTTGTACACCTTCCCCCACTTTAAGTACACAGTACCTTGATTAGGCCATGGCCACTCCCATCCAAATTATTAATCATAATTCACTACTTATCCTTATAGTCTGAGTTTACAAAAATTGCAAATAATGGTTACCAGCAAGTTTATGTGCCTGCCTACAGACAGTTCTTTGTAGCATTTCAGGCACTCTGTCATGCTGTTTGATATGTTTCTTGATGATACCAATGCCATTGAGTAGATAAGATCTAAAATTTGTGACAATGATACATTTGTACAAATATTATGTTGCTGGACATTATCCATCGTCCGGAATTTCGGAGACTGGATTTTTCTCCATCTGCAGATAAAGCCTACTGAGGACGTTGTTTTAGATAAAAACGGCAATGGTTAATGTCCAGAGACATGATATTTGTGTCATTGAGTAGGTTGGCATAGTAATAATGCTGGAAACTTGTAGTTGAGGGGTGCTTGGTTCAAATCTTGGATGGGACTCTGTCCAGATTTTTTTTTCTTGTAGATTCTGAAGGGTTGTGTTCTCTGGTTTTTAGAATACTGAACAATGGACAAAGTCCAAAAACCCTGTAGTTCTAAGTGTTTACTTCTTGTTTTGTTATTTTTAGCCCTTCCACCAGGTAGACGGTGGGATATTGCCTGGTTTAGGCTGAAACTACTCCCAAATCTTTCCATTTCACCAGTCAGCCATTCATTTGATGCTGTATGGTCTAGATGCTGACAATACCATGAAAAAAGTAACATCTACAAGTTGGAATCTATTTTGTTCACATTGCACACGTTACATATGATTTGTGTGTGTGTGTGTGTGTGTGTATGTAATTCTGGGTTACGCATTCCCCTTCCTATTTCCTACGCCCTTGCCTGTATGAGGGATCACAAATGAAACACTAGATAACAGTTTGATCCTTGTAGATGCTTATTTTGGCCGGTCACGGTAGCCGAGCGGTCTAAGGCATGCACTGTCTCCGCTCTCTCAGAAGCCAGGATCGTATGTTCGAATCCCACTCAAGGCATGGATGTTTGTGTGCGTTTTTCTGTGTTTGTCTACAAGTAGAGGCCTTGCAACGAGCTGATCACTCGCCCAAGGAGTCCTACCATATGTGTAAGATCTAGTAAACCGAAGTGAAACGGAGAGTTTCATGGAGGTAGGCCTAGGCCCAAATTGGGGCTGTAGCGCCACAGGAAAAAAAAATGCTTATTTTGAATGATTTACATTCTGTGGTACCAGAAGGTATTTCTTTAGGTTAATTTTAATGGATTATTGCAGAACTGGAAGTTGTGCAGTTTGGTTTCAGGATATTGCATTTTGTACTCATTTGTCTTGTATTTGTGCTTTATTGCAGAGTTGAATCTTCTTATTTTGTTGTCATGTAGTATGGAGGAAACATTCTGAGAAGATTTTGTCATAAGGTCTTGAAAGAGTTCTTTACTATAGAATGTCTTGCTGTATAGGGGAGGAGCTTACGAATGGTTTTGTAGCGGACAGTTTTTCAGTATGAGGGCGATGATAATTTTACTTATTTATTTTTATACAGAATGATAACTCCAAAATACAGTGACCACAAACTTTTTTCTGCTGCCAAAATTCTAACCGATTTTTCATTTCATTTATACTTATGGGGCCCAACAAATATATGATAAATGAATTTAAATTAACCTTATCTGTCATCGAATTTAGATTTGTCAGAAGAGTATAAAAATATACACAAATAAGGAAAAGATATTCAGTATAACTTCACTGCTGTACATGGCTGCAGCTGACTTAATATAGTGTGGCTTATCAAATTGTAATGTAAAGGCTTAAGCAGCCAGATTGTAAAACTATACTCCAAGAGGTGTTCTTGTTTTCCTGTTCCAAGGTTTATTATTACCTCATCACGATGTCCTTCATTGCACTACCCAAACGATATGAAACAGAAGTAACAGAGTTCTGTGTTGTTTAATTCTGAGTCTTTCTTAGATTGGGTTAATATTTTGAGAAATATGTTTACTTATTTCTCTTTCTGTTACTTGTCAGCAGAAACTGGACTTGTTCCTGTATTCAGAAGTGTTGCGTTATTTCTTGTTGGGAGAAAGATTTTCATATCACCATAAAAAAAAACATTTGAAGCCTTAAAATTGCACCTTCAATTCAGCTGGACAAAAACAATTTTAAAATTCAATGGACATTTGGACTTTTCTTAGAAATATCTAAAATACATTGCATTTTCTTGCTATCTTATATACTTCCATCACCAGCCATTTAGAGCCCACCTTAAATCTTCTAAAAAAATGTTTTATAGTTGCTAAAGAAAACTTGGATGAAAAAGAGGCTAGGATAGAGTCCTCAGTAATACGGACACTTGCACAGAAGACCAGAAATTCAAAGTATTCAGTGGTGAACCCGGCTAAATTGTCTAAACATCAGCCATTCAGGACAAAATTTTAGAAGTTACTCATGGGGAACTACTTAGCACTATCTTCAGAGTGACTTAAAAATGTACAGAATGTAAGGTTTGAAGTTTTCACAGAATTGTGAATGTTGCTGTTTACTTGGATGTTATGCCATGTAGTCTGTGTTTCAAAGAAATGTGCTATTCCCATCTACCCTGAAGATGGAAGCAGCAGGTTCTTCTGGGATGTCTGTAAACATCTACCAGACCATGGTATCACATCCAAAAGGCAGTGATCTCAATACAGAGTGTGTGGGTTTACAAGAATATCATTTTCAGCTTTTATATATATATATATATAATTTGGGTAATTTGCTTTGACAGCTCTTAGGGACTAGTTCTCCAATTCTACCAGGATTAATTGGTAATTTGCTTGGCAGTTGTGTGGCACTGCGAGATGCATGTAACATAGGAAAGCGCTCTTTAGCTGCTAATATGCTGTAGAAATAATAATGTAATAGCTTAGTTGACTTTTTTTTTCATGCAATGTACTTGCAAGGCATTGGCTGTAATGAGGCACTTGAACTCAACTTTGCATATTCCTGATATGGACAGTTTGCACATGTTTTGAAATGCTGGGAGCAGTTAACAAAAATTGCCTCTAGTTACTAGTGTGGTTCATATGGGTAATTTATTTATATTTGGGGGGTAATAGATAAAAAAAGGTAAACTTGTCCATGTGCATAACTAATTAAGCACTATGCCATGAAAGCATATGGGGAAATTGGTGTATAATTCACATTTTCTTGACCTCGCCACTAGCTGAAGATGTTCAGCTTCACCTCCACTTATCCCCAGGGAAAGCCCCCGGTACCCATTGGATAGGAGGCTGGGTGGGCCCCAGAGCTGGTCTGGACGTTCTGGAGAAGAGAAAATTATTGATCCTACCAGGACTTGAACTACGACCCCTTGGTCGTCCGGCCTGTGGCCAATCGCTATACGACTGGTATTTGGGGCAGGGGGGAGGTTTATAAATGTAGTAAAATCATCAAAAAGTTTCTAATTTGTTTTGGTGTTGTTACAGGTTAAAAAAGTGATAGTGGGCCAGCATGGGATTGTGTCAACTCCAGCTGTCTCAAACCTGATAAGAAAGAGGAACACAACTGGAGGCATTATCTTGACTGCAAGTCACAATCCTGGTGGCCCTGATCAGGATTTTGGAATCAAATTCAATACAAAGAATGGAGGTAAGAATATCTGACGGTATTATAATACCACAGCTGTTCTGTTTTCAGCACTTATATTTGGATTCATACACATTGTCAATCTATAGACCAAACATTGTTGGACCCATCAGGATAGCATATTGGTAACCCTCTAGACTTATGTCAGGAAGTGATTAGTTTGAATCTCCACTGGAACACCGGCTGTTTTGATTTAGTCTTTCACAGTCCCTTCAGACAAATGCTGGGGTTAATATGGATTAGGTGTTCACAGGTTCCTTCCAAAGCCTTTTTATTTCATCATTGAACTGTCTTCTTACTATTTGATGCCATGTAGTCTAGCTACTGATAATATCACAGAAGAACCCACAAAAAAGAAGCTAGTGTTAATATTGTTGCATGCATTAGGGGTGTGACTATTAGACGGGGGTTGGATTGGATTTATTTCACTTCTACATTCAACTCAGAACTACAAGTAAATATAATGCTGATTTCCGCACTATAGATCACTATGACACACTAAGTCTTCTCAGTCTTCACTAGTCGTATCCTGGTAACGGATTTATAATAGTCTTACTGTAACTATAGTACACATAAAAGTCATCAAATGACACGCTGAGTCGTCTCTTCACAGGTTGACTCTCAAATCCGAACTAAACTATCAGTTATTCTGGGATACCGGTTGTATAGCCTCTGGGCAGTCCCAACAGAAAACACCATTTCCTAAGAATTCCTCTGTTGTTACAGAGGTGTGTTTACCTGACCATTGCATACAGACAGCAGTCCTTCTGTTTTTACATGTGTGTTCATTTCCATGGGAATCTGTGTACTGAGCTCTTGCCTAGCGAGTAAACTGTTCATGCTCTCGGGCGTCACGTCACAGTATTAATAGAACAGAAAAATGATGATTCTATACCAGTTACATTATCTTATGGTGGGACAGCCTGATACTGGCCTCTCTCCTGTGTAACTGTGAAACAGCAGTTCTAGACGGAAGTCATGTAGTATGATGTCACATTGCATAACCAGTTTCTTGCTGTTTGCTCCCAGATACAATGATGCAAGATTTGTGGTTCTGTGGAGACTGAAGGATAGTGTCTCCTATGATGTGATGCTGTGTAGTGTGGTAGATCATTACCAGTTTTTTTTTGTGAGGGGGGGGGTAAGTTGATGCTTCCATTATTTGAGTACAAGAGACTGCCCTGAAAGTGGAGACAACTGGTTCCTTTAAAATGCTGGTTGTGATCTACCAGAGTATGTTCCATTACATTCCAGGAGGCAGTAATCTTCAATTACCATCAAGTTATTTTGTGTAGTGTCTCGTAAGTGGTGACTAATTGTTTAGGTCTTATATGGTTCTGAAACTTGGTGTCTCTCAGTCAAAAGGAACACCATGGATTGACAATATTATTAGTGATAATAAAAATATTTGGACATAGAGAGAAAGTGACAGGTGAATGGATGAATTGCATGAGGAACTTCAGGATCTGTTCTCCTAAACCCTCTTGCTCTCTAGGGATTCAGGTCATAAAATTGTTGACTGGATTAAGGTGGCTCAGGATGCAGTCCAGTTGCACTATTTTGTAAACATGTAATGAGCATTTGGGTTACATAAAAGCTAATTGTTTCTTATCCATTTGAATAACTATCAGCTGTGCAAAGAAAGCCCTGCATCACAGAGTTTGTATGCACTTGTCACTTACTTATGTAGCATGGTTCAATCTTTTAACCTTTAAGTGCCGAAGTGCCCCATTCAGGCTAGTGATGAGTATGGTTGTCGTGGCCAAAGTACCCCCCGTTTTGGCCAGTCAGGCATTTAAACTCTGCTAGTGGAAGCGCATGCACAGTCTTAAATATGTATTTTTAAATGTAGTAATTACCAGACAGACTTGAGTAAAACCATAATAGAGGAATTAAAGTGATACCTAGGTGAACAACAGCAAAAAAGAATATACGTATGAGTTATGCCCAAACTCATCCATGAGCCAGTACTTTTATTGCAGATTCTGCAGATTAATGTATTAAAAATATATAGTAAAATTCGATGTACATACATTTTTTGTTGTTATCTGCTTGATGTGTATATAGGCTGAAATGAAATTACAGTATTTGATTTCAGTATGAACGCACAGAAAACAGATCACACTCTGTATCTCAGCTATGATGCAACTGTCTGTTCTGGACCCTAGAAAGGGCAATAATCTCTTGCAGCTATGACGGGAGGTCTTAGCACTGAAGAAGGGACCCCTCTAGCCATTTCTTGAATAGCCATGCTTTCATTCTTCTGTCCTTTAGTCGAAAGGTTCGAAAATCCGAAGAGTGTAAGCAGTGCTAGCAGAAGACCAGATGATATTATTGCTTCCATCTGTTTTATGGTACCAGGGACTGCTAAAATTTGTCAAGTGTTACAAACAGAAACGAATTTATAATGCAGAATAACTCTTGTGAAGAACTTGGGAACCCAATTTTGCAATACACTTCAAATTTAAAAGGAAAAAAAATTGAAAATAGAGTATAACATTTTGTATAAAATTTTTCAAATCTTCCATTGTAATATGTGATACTATGTTCTTTGCTGATACAAACAAAGTTAATTCCATCCATTTAACATAAAAATTGAGTTGGATACAGCATTTTTAAACACAATGTTTCAAATTGTTTAAGTGCACTAACAAGAACGGACATTTAAACGCAGAGTAGCAACGGGTATTTAAACGCGTACCAGCAGCAGGCATTTAAATAAACTGCGGCCAGCTCAAACCTACCACCATTTCAGAAGTCCGACGTTTAAAGGTTAAGGGCTATTTTAGCAGTCATACATTGTCATATTATTTGAAGTGTTGCAAAGTAGTAGCTTGATGAACTTTTCTCTTTGGAGTCAGTCTTGGACATTTAAAGCCAGAGACATAAACTGAATACAGTCAGTAGGGACAAGATATTTAAGAACCATGTAAGGCTCTGCTGGAATAGACCATATAAAAAATTTAAATTGTGGGAAAGAGCTGAAACTGCAATTGGTACAAGATAAAATAGATGAATCATACAAAATTGAATAAACCATTTGAATATATTTCCCCCAAAAATTCTAGAATATAAACCAAAAGGGCAGTGTGACTGAGGAAGACCTTTGAAAAGATGGAGTGAGTGTGTGAAGTTGAAAGAAGGCTGATTGCATATACCATGAAATGAAGATGTTCCTGAGAGGTATCTCTGTATAATGGTGTTGAGGTTGTATAGAGGTGAATGATGGAAATTTTTGTTTCTAGAGAACAGAACTGTAGTTGAACTTTTTGCAGGACTAAGGGGAGAAGCGGGTTTTGACTTCCCTCTACAGCTACATTCTGTTCTCAGTTACTTGGGTTCTAAAGCATATGTTATAGGACATTATAAGAGGGATTATAGTTTTTATTAATATGATTTTACTGTTTTTATCAGGATTGAGATTATATGAATGAAATTGATATGCTGTATATAGCAACTTTAGTTTCAACAAAACAGAGTGCTGAATAAATGGAATTTTTGTTTGATGTTTGTGCACTTCAGTTTATTGTTATGCTTTTGTTTCCTTGGAAATTAATTACACTATTATTATTAATACTATTGTACTTTCCAGGACCAGCACCTGACAGTGTTACAACAGAAATTTTTAATATCACTGTTCGTCTAGACTCCTATAATATAGTTCCTGACCTTGACTGTGACATTGACACATTGGGTGTGAATACATACACTGTAAGTAAAAACAGACTAATCAGTCACACATAACGGGATACTGTATAGTTTTAATAACTCATATTTCTAGGGAAACTGAGATGAAATTATAACACAGGATGTCATCTGCTTTTAATTTTGATTGACACAGGTGGATGCTTGTAGAATTTTGCATTATCTTTTGCTAGATTTGTGATCTTGACCGCCTCTATGCTCTAGTGGTCAGAGTTCCTGGCTGCAGATCCAGAGGTCCAGGTTTGATTCCCGGCGCTACCAGATTTTTTCTGAGAAGTAGTGGGTCTGGAATGGGGCCCACTCAGCCTCGTGATGATAATTGAAGAGCTATTTGAAGGAAATAGCAGTTACGGTCTAGAAAACCGAAATTAACAGCCGTGGGAATTTGTTGCGCTGACCATGCGACACCCTCTATCTGCAAAAGTTGGCACTAACTTCGCCAAGCGGCGGTCTCTTGGCCAGTATAGTTTGCTTGCAGACTAAAATCACGGAGTTTTGTGTGTGTGTGTGTGCATGCGTGTTCTTAATGTGCGGCTGATGGCCACCTCTGTGGTCTAGCGGTCAGAGTTCCTGGCTACAGATCCATAGGTACCATCATCAGAGGACATAGCCAACACTACATATTGTCATGTGTTAGTCACTAGGCATGTGGTTTGACTTTGTAATTGGATTTATTGAACACTTTTTTGCTATATTGTGCATTCGACTTGCTAAGTTGCCTAGTAAGGATCTCAACAATATTGTCTGCCTACATCCTTTTATTTTATTGCTAGTGGGGTGGGACTGAGTCCCTTGTACTGTGGCCACTTCTGGCCTATTATACCAGCCCCAGATGATAGGTGAGGGTGATTGTGGAGCAATTGGTGGAATGAAGATTGGCAGGGGAACCAAACTACTTGGAGAAAACCTGCCCCAGCGCCACTTTGTCCACCACAAATCCTACTTGACCAGACCCAGGATCAAACCTGTACCTACATCCTTACTGGATGGCTACCATCTCACAGCTAACTCATGGTTGCAATTAACTATGACAGTGACTGACTGACATGCAAGTCAGTTCACTTTTTGTCACCTCCTTACGACTCGCAGGGCTACGTTGAAGGTATTCAAACCAGCCTTGACACAGGGTTAACACATTGCGTCACACTGTCCTGCATTATAACATCTCGGCACAAACCACATAGAAAACACCATTTCCTAACAATTTCCATCTCTAAGGCTATTCATCCTTAATAGCCTACAGGCTGTTATTTTGTGTGTGTGTGTGTGCCTGCTTATAGCTACCCAAACAACAAAGTTGTTTAGTGGTACAACTTTCATGATGAAGTGTATTCATTTCTGATGTCATCCAAACTGTTATAGTGATGTATCTTAGTTGTTTAATAGTTTGTTTCATCTGCAGAGTCTATGAAACCTTGATGCAGCCATATATTCATGATGTTTTGCCATTCTTACATCTCCGTTGACTCAAACTTGGACATTGCAGCAGATAATTAAATCAAGCTTATTTTGTGTAAACATTGCTTTCCCATAATGTGATTCTGTTTTTCAGATATACTTAAAAAACAAGTCTGAAATCTTGTACACTTACTCTTAGTTTCGAATGCATCTCACCATCAGTTTATGCAAACTGTCAAGTGGTGAAACAAGGGGCACCTAGTAGTTGCAGTAGGTATTCAGAGCGACCTCCATCCAATTGAACGCAGGCAGCAGTGCGCTGTTTGGCATTCTCTTGAACATGGCTTTAACATGTGAAAGCTGCTTGAAACCTTGCGGGGATTGCATAAATGTGCTTAAGGTTTCTCTGCAGGAAGATATCCATCAGAATTAATTCTGGTGGCCAAGGAGGACATGCGGTTGACTTGTAGATGTCCAGTCCACCTTCCTGGATATGTCATGTTTAGCCATTGCTGGTCAGCTTCTCAGTGCATTGGAGCTCTATCATGCTGAAACCACAGCCTCTGTCTTGCACCTGGAGTCATGTGTTCCAGCAGCCCAAGAGAACAGTTTCCAGAAAATCACACTGTTGTTCAGCTGTCAGTGTGTCAGGTAGCAGATGGGAGCCTGTGACAGTGTCCCCAGTGATTCCAGCCCAAATGCTGATGCTGAAGCATACTTCATAAACCACGTTTGCATATAGCATGAGAGCTCAAGGATCATCCTGTGGTCAGAGGTGACTGTTGTTGAGGTTGAACACACCCTCACATGTAAAATATGCTTCATCTGTGCACAAGATGTTATGTAAAAAGATATTATTCGCACTCTGTTAATGTCATAGCCACTCAGAAAATTGCATCCATAGAGGATGCTCATCTGGAAATGGATTTGCTCTCACAAACAGTGGTGTGGTTGCAGTTGATTGTTTTGAAGTACTTCAATGATCCCCAGTTGGGATAATCTCAATTCTCATGTGATATCATTTCAGTTTCTCCATGACTCTCGTTCAACATTTACAATTATGGCATCTTTGTAAGCCGCCATCTCTATGGTCTGTGGTCGACCTGCATGCACATGTGCTGTGGGTGTTGCACTTCCTGTCTTATGCAAATGTTGCTTCATTCATCAAAATACATTATCATCTGGATGATTCCAACTAGGATAACGTAGTATGTGTCCCTATGCAACAGTACCAGCTTAACTGTTGCAGGTACTGAGGGTTAGGAGCAAATCTGTTTGTCATGTGTGTATTCTCTGACATTTGATCATGATGGAGGCATGTTGGGCCCAGTATATCTTGAGTACACCTAACAATGTGTATGCTATTTATCATCATGGAAAATAACACTGCTGAGGATTATGTTACGTCATTTGAAGGTGAAGTGTCTTGGAAAGCTAAGTGTCTCAGGACATATGCTGTATAATATTTTCAGCCTGTTTTTTTTTTTCAGTGATGAATCACACTGTAAAGGAGGGCACGGTAGCATAGTGGTTGAGGCACTGTGCTACAAGCCGGAAGGTTGTGGGTTCAAGTCCCGATGACATCATTGGATTTTTTTCAGTTGACCTAATCCTTCCAGCCGCACTATGGCCCTGGGGTTGACTCAGCCTCTAACAGAAATGAGTACCAGGAATTAATTAAATAGTTCTCCTGGGGAGTAAAGCACGGCCGGCGCCTAAGGCTGACAACCTTACCGTCATGTTTGAGCCAATTGTCTAGATAATGTGGGACCCTCAACGTCTCACAACCCTATAGGCCTTCACGGCCTCTTAGAGGGATAGCTTTACTTTACTTTTTTACTTTTTCACACTATGGATAGCCTGTATGTGAATTTCACTTCCCTCTGTTCCTTTATGTTGTCTGCTGACCTTAAGACATGTGGTATATCCATCAATCACATCTTTTTATTCTCCAATAATTGATGTTTATTGAAATGTTGCAGTGCTACAAGCTTCGGTCAACCGCAAGTTGTGATTGACAGATATACCACATATTAGTGATATGCACAACAGGCTGTCCAACATACAAATGAAAATACGTTCTTCTGCTGATTTAATAGGTCGATGGCAAAGAATTTGTTGTGGAAGTTATAGACTCGGTGGCTGACTATGTAAGCCTTATGAAGGATATATTTGACTTCAGCAGCCTAAGAGACCTCCTTAAAGGGACTGAGAGTCGGGATCCATTCAGAGTCCTCATCAATTCGCTGAATGGTGGTAAGTTGCATATCAGTATTTTCAGAAGAAGTAGGAAATAGGAGATGTGTGAAGGCTTGCACATTGAATGAAAATACCCAATTCACATTGTATGTGTCTCTGTTGCTTCTTTGGACATTCATATCTTTTAGCGGAGTCTGCTGAACCTTGATACCAAAGACCTTTACAAAATTAATGACTGTAATTGGACTTCAGGCCAATATAGGTTACTTTGGCAGAAAGTTGAATAAACTCCAGATATGCCTTGTAGGGTATATGCTATCAAAATATTGTCATGTTATTACGGAGCATGACTATAGATGGGTTGAGTGAATAGCAGCCGCTTCTTCGAGTTATATGATGTAATTGTAGGCTTTTGTACAATGCCCATCAACATACAGAGAGCCAAAACCACATACATTTTGTGCACTGTAACATCTTCCCACTGACTAACTCTAGAGTGAAGAATGAAAGGATTGACACTTCTGAAAATTTCTTGCTGAGCATATATATGTTGGTTTCATCTACACTGAGTTGCACAAGAGGTATATCAGAAATGTTTTCAAATGCACCCATTATACAGTTCAGCAGTGTTGAACTGGGGTACGTGCATATCACGAAATGTTTCATGTGAAGCTGGAAGTGAGCCTATATTTTCCCATACAAACTTGCATGACACCCCTCCCGAGCCTACCTTTACATATACGTCTTGTCAGGCCGCACCATAGCTCAAGCGGTTAGTCGCTGGCTTCCCACCACAGCGGCCTGGGTTCGATCCCGGATCTGGTCAAGTGGGATTTGTGGTGGACAAAGTGGCGCTGAGGTAGGTTTACTCCAAGTACTTTGGTTTCCCCTGCCAATTATCACTCCACCAGATTCTCCATCATCATAACCGCCCTGAGCAGGTACAATAGGCCAATCAGTGGCCGCCGTGCTGAGTGGACCCAACTGGACTCCACCCCCCCACTATGCGAATTAAAAAAATTACATCTTGTTTATCACTACCATTATCACTCTCACCGTTACTGATCACATGGGTTCCCGGAGTTACCAGTTCTGTATATTCACTGCCAAAAATTTGAACTAAATCCACCAGTATTTTCTTCATCTAAAACTGCATTCAGGACTTCTTTTTCAAGCTGTGTGAGCACGTAACTTGTTTACAAGCCAACCCTGATCACTGTGAGGTCACGTATTTGTGTTTAGACTGGCCTGCTCAGATGCAAGAAATGCAAGATTATGGGCACATGAACAGAGACTTCATTAATTTTGCAGCAGGCCAATGGAAACCCCATCACACTCTATTTTTTCCTTATTTACAAACCACAGAAATAAGCTTATAGTATTCCATTTCCGTATTCCATATTGGAGAGGGTGGGTTTCCTCATGCACTTAGACCGGTTAGTGGTCCATTAAGTTTATAGTAAGATGTGCAGTATACATTAAGCCACATACAGAACAATTAAACGCCCAACATAACATCTCCGTTGAACTGCACTGACAGGTTGAAGTCTTAAAACATAAAACCTTTTAGATGTAAAACAAATTTCTGTAAAAAATACTTACTAACTTACAATTAAAAATAATGTAGTGGCCAGTAAGAATAAGCCAAGCCAAGTGACGTGTTCCTTCAAAACATCAATTGACTTTCAGGAAACTACACAACACTATATCCCAGAGACAGAATTCTTGCGAATCTTGGTTCTTGCTTCTTAGGAAGCCTCATGTTTTATTTCTTAAAAGGAGTTAATTTTTGCATTTTGAATGCTCTGTACAGTTACTGGTCCTTATGTGAGGGAGATTTTCGTGAATGAACTTGGAGCAGGTGAAAGTAGCATAGTGAATACTAAGCCCTTGGAAGATTTTGGGGGTCTTCACCCAGATCCTAATTTAACATATGCTGCTGAGCTGGTTTCTGCCTTGAAAGAAGGTGTTCATGATTTTGGTGCAGCATTTGATGGCGATGGGGTAAGTTGATGGAGTTAAACAATACAGTCCCATTTTGTTGCATAATAAATTGAACATGGCCTGACTGTTGATGTGAATATATCTGGCAATGAAATATCTTGAATGATGTTTCTGTGCATTGCTTATGATTCATCTGTGTCAGTATGCAACAGATGTCAGGATTCAGTTTGCTGTGTGGTTGCTATTAAGTGTTTTCCGGTAGTTTCTTGTATGTCAGAAATGAAAAGACCTTTCAGTAAGATACTTTGAAAATCCCTACCTTTTCGGAAAATTATGGTGGCCAATGGAGAAGCCCAGAGTTTCCAAAACTAAAGAAAAAGAAGCATGAATATCAATTCAGAGGTCAAAAGGATACTGATTTGCTCTTGATATCAAAGGAATTGTCTGTTATGCATTAGTTTTGTCAAGATATACAAGCAGTCAGAATTCAGCCTTCAAGTTTAAAAATGTTTATGGCAACAAATTCATTGAAAAAGACGAAATATTTCGTCACAAACATGGTAGTGTGTTTTTCTACACTGCATTATTTTGGTGAAGTAATTTTTGCCTATGAAGAAAGTACCAGTGTTGGAACATACAGTGTACTTACATCCCATGTGACTTCACATATTCCCAAAACTAAAATCTCCTTGGAAAGGTCTCATTTTGTTTCATTTGATGGTATTCAGTGCAATGTAATGACAAGAGTCAAGAGTCACGTATTTAAACTTCTAATGAATAAATGACCAATATATTTGAAAGTCTAGACCTTCTGCTTCTTGGATTGATATGATTTGTTATAACCATAAAAATGTTGTATTATAGGACCGAAACATGATACTGGGGAAAAATGCATTCTTTGTGACACCTTCAGACTCGCTCGCTGTGCTGGGCTCCCATCTGCGTCACATACCATACTTCAGAATTGAAGGAGTGAAGGGATTTGCCCGCAGCATGCCAACTGCTGGTGCAATTGATAGGTGAGTTTTTGTGTGTGTGTGTGTGTAGACTAGAGTGGCCCCTTGAAATGAACAGTAAACTGAAAATATTATTGCGGGAAGCCTATTTATTATAGGGTGTTTCTTTCCAAAAAAGCCATTCTAGAAGAGACAAAATAAACTTAGAATGGAATTATTTAGAGTTGAAGGTAACAGGCTTTGGAGGTCCATGGGGTTGAGAGACATCGAAGCTCCCACATTTTGTAGACAGTTAGCTCACAGATGGTGATAAGGTTGTTAGTCTTACATGCTGGCTGCTCGCTACCCCCAAAAAATTTCTGGTACTCATGTCTGTTAGAGGCTGAGCGATAATGTGGCTGGAAAGAATAGGTCAGTTGGCAAATCCAGTGACCTCGTTGGCAATCGAATCTGTGACCTACTGGTTTGTACCTCGACCAACTATGCTGCAGTGTACCCCTTCTTTAGAGGTTGTATGATGTTTGTCCTGGTGTTTGATGTTGGCAGAAAGATGAGACTGTTGATGGAAAAGGTGTGTAACCCAGTAGTATGAACTTGGAACGTGGTATGAAAATAATTGCAAACGGCTGTTTAAAAACTGGGATTATGAATACGTTTGACAGAAGTGAGGATGACATACTGTATGTTGAAGACAAAAATGTAGATGCAGAAGGGGATAGCGAATCAATGCCACAGAGCAGTTCGGAGGATGACAGTCGATGAAGTGACTGATAGACTTGAAAGGATTCTGACGATGGTGTATACTGTACTTCTTTTGGCTTGTTTTGGACTTCACCCATCGTCCGGTATGTAAAAGACAGAAAGACAAAAAGCCACGACGTTTCGGAGACTCGATCTGTCTCCGAAACATCGTGGTTTTTTGTCTTTAACATACCGGACGATTGGTGAAGTCCAAAATAAGCCAAAAGAAGATGAAGTGACTGTTGTGAAAGTATTGTGTATTATCCTTGTTAAACGGTAATGGCTTCTGTTGTTAAAAGCTTATGGAAATTTTTCTTTGTATAAATCCTGCACTTCAGTTTTCAGTTGCAAAAACACAGAAACTATATGCAAGACGCATGCTTGTGTATATGGTATATGTTAGATTAAGGGTAATTTTTCTAATTAAACATATCTACCCACTGTAATTTGTTATCTTCACATTCTACTGTAGTTTCATCTGATTATGGGGTTTGTGAGTTCTTAAATCTGTCAACATGTTGAGAGCAGATGGCGGGAGGATGTGGACTGGCCCAGAATAGAAACCAGTGGTAGTCTTTTGTGAACACATTCACATAAACGGCATGGAATTTATTGATCGGGCGAGTTTGCTAAGGAATGACTGTGCTTCATGGAGTTGGTTAGCTAGTTCACCACTGGAATACCAATATGTAGGATCAAGATGCGAATTTTCAGAAATTTTAACTGATTTTGATTTTCAGAGTTGCGAATGCTGTGGGTGTTGACTTTTATGAGGTGCCCACAGGGTGGAAGTACTTTGGTTCCTTAATGGATGCAAGTCGGCTGTCTCTTTGTGGGGAGGAGAGCTTTGGGTAAGTACATCATATTGTCATGTGGGAATCATACCCATACTGAAATGTAGTGACAAGTCTCTCTCTGTATTGACTTAAATTAATTTTAAATTTCATTAAGTAGGCTTTATACATCAAATCAGAAATGTATCAGTTGGGTGAAGATAAAGTTATATCTGTAACAGGCTGTGAAGCTCCATAGGGTTGTGAGATGGCAAGGCTCACAGACTTTGGTGAGGTTGTCAGCCTTACACGCTGGCTGCCCTTTACCCTCAGGAAGATTCCTGGTACTCATTTCTGCTGGTGGCTGAGTCGACCCCAGGGCCGTAATGTGCCTGGAAGGATTAGGTCAATTGAAAAATCCAGTGACATCTGGAATCGAACCCGTGACCTTTTGGCTTATAGCATAGTGCATCAACCAACTACACTACCACGTGACCCTATTAAGTTACAGATATACAGACTATATATTTGGTTATGTACGTATTCCTCCCCTCTTTCTTATTTATGAAAAATAATTTCACTGAATCTAATGTCTGTCAGTAGCTGTCCACTTTTTCTACTTTCTTTTTACGCACTGTAAAGGAAATTGCTGTAAATATGAAGCAGGTCTATCTTAACATTTTAACGAGTGCGTAAGTCAAAGGGTGGTATGAAATAGAATTTTGGGGCTGTAGGTTTTGGGAATATCAGCCAGATTGAGCTTACTGATAATATCCCATGGTGGAATTTTGTGGTGATGGTGAGGAGTCTGCAGAATTCATAACCAAAGCTTTGATTAGTTATCAGCTGCTCAGAGAAATCCTTCACCAAAAAGTTAGTGTATTCAAGACCAAGCTCCAAGAGTTTATTTTTACAGACCTCTAATTATAGTATTACCTGTAAGTAGTGATGCGGCAGGAAAGCATGCATTTGTTGGGAGATATTTATGTAAAACATTAATTTGCTATATGACATAAAAATCCTGATATAAAGTCAGAAACCTGTATAAATATTATTGAAGTTTGTATCTGTAGAGAAATATGAACATGAAAATGGAGTTCCACAGTAAAAAGCGGCAAATAGTTATGCTTCTGTGTGTGTGTGATGTAGCACTGGGTCTGACCATATCCGTGAGAAGGATGGAATATGGGCCGCCCTGGCATGGCTGCAAATTATTGCTTGTGAGAAGAAAAGTGTGGAAGAACTTTTGATTTCACATTGGAAGAGGTTTGGCAGGAACTTCTTTACCAGGTCAGTTTGAATGCCATCTCACATTTATTAAAATTATTTTTAGCACAGTGAAATGTTAAATGTTGTTAAAGGGTTGGCTGTAACGGAAAGTTTACACGTTTGCAGCAAATGTACTGCTGTAAAGAGGATTATCATCCAGGATGTAGCAGCATGTAGTCTAGGAGAAATTCACTTATGTTCCAGAGGCACAGTCTCTATCTTCCAGCTCACAGAGTAAGCCAAAGAAGAAACCAGCAAGGAGCAGGTGGGAAGCAGAGGTGCTTCAGGCTTGTTTCTTGCTTTGCTTACATTCTGAACTGGAAGATAGAGACTGTGCCTCTGGAACGCTCAGCGTCTTCTAGCCGACTACACGGTGTCACACTTCATACCCGCTGCTGTGAGAACCTGAAATCCTAATGCTTTATTGTTTAAAATTGTATTTAATTTCTAATTAACAAGTATCTCTGATATTCCACAGCAGGAGGAAACACCCAACACAAAAAACACAAATGTGCGATAGGACTACACATCAAATATTAGAAGCGCAAAATGCAAGCACAGCAGTCTCCACAAAGCCTTAAAATGCCTGATGATGACCAATGATGGTCGAAATATGTAGTGTGCAGTGTGGTTTTAAATGCTTTCAGAGACTCACTGTGTGTGTGTGTGTGTGTGTGTGTGTGTGTGTAGTAACTTTGAAACAAATTTTAGAGGAGTGTTGCATGTAAGATGGAATATCGGAGACATTTGTTAATTGATAAATGATGTTCAGCAGGCTGCTACAATATAACCCTAATTTCTAGGACTGTATTTTATAATTAGAATCATCCCAACATAGGTTTCATGCACAGAAAACCGCATGAGATAGCAGTATGCGTGACAGATGATCGAGAAGAAAGGTTTAGACAAGTAATTGGCCAGGCTTATTGAAAGTGCAATGTAACACCATATACAGTGAACTTCCTCAGTGAAAAGTAAATGTTCATCTGTTGCCTGTCATGTTACTTTCTCTTATTTATTTGAGGCAGTTGTCAGTATTAGACGCTAGGTATCTCAAATTGCTGCCGGTCATGGTAGCCAAGCGGTCTAAGCCATGCACTGTCTTCACTCGCTCGGAAGCCAAGATCGTGTGTTTGAATCCCACTCAGAGCATGGATGTTTGTGTGCGTTTTTCTGTGTTTGTCTACAGGTAGAGGCCTTGCGACGAGCTGATCACTCGCCCAAGGAGTCCTACCGTATGCGTAAGATCTAGAAAAACCGAAGTGAACGGAGTTCATGGAGGTAGGCCTAGGCCCACTGGGGCTGTAGTGCCAAGGAAAGAAAAAAAAATCTGAAATTGCTGTTGTGCCTGGACGCAGAGCACATGAACCACACAATGCTGAAACTGTTTCAAGATGAACTCCTGTGGGCAGAAAGCTTCATTTTTATGCTGCCATGTTTCTAAAGTGATGATAAGTAATTTTCATTTCATGCATCCTGTTGTGTTATAATATAAGATTTCTTTATTAAAATCTGTCACAACACAACATCAAGGTCAAAAGATGTATTCATCCTGGTTATGTCTTGAGTTTTTCTAATCACTGACGTCATGATGCTGTCAGCTTCTCACACTACATAGTGTCAAATGGCAGGGTGATGAGTGAATGGTTGTGGCCTAATTAGAGGTAGCCTCCTGGCATTCATCTGGAGAGACTGAGAGGAACCTTAGATCAGGATTGTTAGAGACACACATGAGGTTTGAACTGGGGACCTCCTGAATACAATTTGACAGTTTCTGATTTGGTTTATGTAGGTACGATTATGAGAATTGCAATGCAGATGACTGTGCTCGCATGATGCACAAGCTTGAGCAGACTGTGACTTCACCTGCCTATGTTGGGACACAACTCAGTCATAAGAACAAAAGCTATGTCGTCAAACTGGCAGACAACTTCCATTATGAGGATCCAGTAGATGGCAGCATAGCAGCAAGACAGGTATGTTCTGCAATTCCAGGTACTCTACACCAACCCTTGGAAGTATACACAAACACTTAATTAAGAAGATTTTAAATTTAAAAACATTGTTTTCATTTTATTGCCAACTAAGTGATATTCAAAAAAGCAGTATTTGAACCCACATGTGCATCAAACTAAAAATACTTTTATGATTTTAAATTCCTTAATTCCCTTTTTGCAAAACTGAATTTATCAAAAATAAATGAGCACCATTGTCACACATTTTACTCATTTTCATCAAATCAGAATTTTGAATATGACAGAACTTGACTTCTTTATAGCATTATCCTTCATTGCTGCTTGAATACATGGGGCATAGTGCATAACATAGCCATGATGTCTAAAATAGAGAAACAAAAACAAAGTTATATGCTCCTACCATGTATACCTGAGGAGACCTCAGAAGAATATGATGTACCTCTTCTAGTACCAGATTTTCAAGGACAGTAATTTCAGTGCTTATGCAGGCAGCTTCCCCAAGTGCAGTTCTCTGGACAAACAACTTTTTTCAGCCTTCATAGTGGCCTATTGTTAGGTGCACAGATCAGTTTCTCTTGATAAGCTGCCAGTTGTGCAGCCACTCGAGAACTTCACAGCATTTTATGGAACCCAAAGGTTCAGTACCATGTTCACAAGAGCCCTTCACTGGTACTTATCCTGAGCCGGATCAATCCAATGTATACCATCCCACCCTATCTCTCTTAAGATCTGTTTTAATATTATCCACCCACCTACACCTTGGTCTTCCCAGTGGTTTCTTTCCTTCTGGTTTTCCCACCAATATCCTATATGCATTCCTCTTCTCCCCCATTGGTGCTACATGCCCTGTCCTCGATCGTTCTAATTATACTTGGAGAAGAGTACAGATTATGGAGCTCCTCATTATGTAGTTTCCTCCAGCCACCTGTCACTTCATCCCTCTTCAGTCCAAATGTTCTCCTTAACACCCTGTTCTCAAACACCCTCAGTCTATGTTCCTCCCTTAATGTGAGAGACCAGGTTTCACACCTGTGAAGAACCACAGGCAAAATTATAATTTTGTATATTCTAATTTTTATGATTTTGGACAGAAGACGAGAAGACAAAAGATTCTGGACTGAATGGTAGCAAGCATTACCCGAGTTCAGTCTCTCTTAATTTCCTCGTGAATCAGGTTTAGAATTGTTACTGTCATTCCCAAATATTTGAATTGTGCCACATTTCAAAACATGTGTTAGCTATCTTTACATCATGATTTTGCCCTGCATTCTGGTGATGAGAGCAACATATATTTAGATTTCTTAGATTTCTGTGTTCACTTCTAGACCAACCTCCTTACCAGAGTCAGTTAAAGTTTGTACACACACTAGTGTATAGTTTTTAAAATTATTTTAACTCTAAATCCTAACCAGTTTTAAGTCTTTGACCATATTCAGTTTAATTTAATTTTATACCAATACAGCTCAGAGCCGATGAGTAAACAAACTAGAGGTTCACTACGAAGCAATAATCATTTAACCATGTAATCAAATAGGAAGGAAAATATGGACCCATATTGGATGAAAAATTAGCTTCTAGCTACACAGAAGCACATCTGTTTTATTCATGCCAGAATTAATGAACTAGTTTATCAGTTCCTTGCCTTGTCCTATATAAATTACGAACAGTGAGGCATATCTGCTGCTGGATTCACAGAGCTTGTGTCTCAGACTTTCAGCTTTCAGAGGAATGTGTTGCTCAAAAGACAGCCTGTTCACATAGTCAAAGACTCATCTATAGCAATGTCTTGGCTTGGGCATTACAGATTCTGGAAGTTTCTGTTTCAGTGTTGAAGAATTGCATACATTTTGAAAAGTTTGGCAGGACCTTCATATTCATTTAATATGAAATTTTTTCTGAAATGAAGAAATTGGATACTGAACTCCAGTCTTTTTAGCCATGACATTTTGGAAAAGTGTTTGAAGAGCAACTGGCCCTTGCTGCAGTAAAGTTGTCCCTGTGTTTAACTAATGCAGTACTATGCCATGAAAACATATGGCGGAGTAGATGTATAGATTCACGTTATCTTGACCTTGGCACTAGTTGGAGGTGAGTGGTCAGCTTCACGCCCCGGCCGCTTTACCCCTGGTACCCATTGGTGAGGAGGCCTAGCGGGTGCCAGAGCTGGTCTGGATGATGTGGAGAAAGAATAATTGTTGACCCTACTGGGACTTGAACTCTGACCCCTCCATTGTCCAACTCATAGCCAGTTGCTGTACCGACTGTACTATCAGAGACTAAGGAAGTTGAAATAAGAATTAAATTAGAGGCATAAGCTTTTATGTCAGGTACAATAATTGCACATACAGCTGAATTAATATCAGTCATTTGAACTGAACAGTTCAGACTTTAAGATATGGGGAAACTGCAAAGTCGTTTTTCATTGAAACAGACAGAATTTGTGTCCGATGTCAGAAACAATGTCTGTGTCTCCACACAGCAAGATTATTATTTAATTATGATGTAACCGTGCCAGAAGGTGAAGGGAATTTTTTAGTTAGAAATACTTCTTGAGTGTGATGTGAGAATTGCCATACAGCACTGCTTTCACTGCAGGGTATCAGACTTCTCTTTGAGGATGGCTCCCGCATTATTGTCAGATTGAGTGGTACTGGAAGTTCAGGAGCAACTGTCAGGATATATATTGACAGTTATGAAAAGGATGAAAATCTGTTGCTTGGGGATGCACAGGTATGTATGCAAATCATGAAATACTTCTGTACACACAACACATTCGACAGGGCACATGGTCTGCGTGGCTACCTGTTTGCCTACTGTCTGCCATCAAAACAAACTCCATGATTTCAGTCCACAAGCGAACCATACCTACCGAGCGACCTCCGCTTGTCGGCGAAGTTTAGTGCCAACTTTTGCGGATAGATGGTGATGCGTGGTCAGTGCAACAAATCCCCACAGCCATTCTGCCATCAGCATGCGTAAATTGAGGTCTGATTCAAATTTTTGAAAATATGAATAGCTGTTTGATACTTCCCTCAGTTACTTGTGTTACCTATACCTGCTAATGACCTTTGTGTGCTGGGCTAGTTTAGATTTTTCTAGAATACCCTCTTTGAGATTGTGCCTGTATTCCTGGAGATCCATAGCTAGTGGTCTACCTGTGCCACCACATAACTTCTGTCCCAGTGACAGGAAAAGCTGTAGATTACAGTGTGCCTTTGTTGCAGATGTTTGGCTAGTTCACATAAGTAAAATAAGCTTGTTTATTTTGTTTTGATGGTTCTCCTGATGTTCTAGTGATTCTGTATATGTTTGAGCTTCTCAGAAATACTTGCCCTGGGACTGCTAAGAATTGAGTCGGGGAACCATTGAGATAACAGTTAAGCTGAATTCAGTGCTTATTGCACTCACTGGGGTCAGTATATTAATTAAACAATTGGAAGATTTAGCTAGAAGGAGAGGTACTGTGCACTTATGGATTAGATTGATTAATCTTTGCACAAATAATCATGAAACTTAAAAATATTCTACACCTTCCTCAAAATGCATCAAATTAAATTTTGATTTCTAATTGTGTTACATGCTTCTTCATTTGTGTGTATAAGTTTCAGTGACTTATGATTTATGATGTCTTTAATGAATTATCTTGAAGACGACTGAAGTTATCGCTAATTCAACCAACAAAAGTGCTCACGTGATCAGGCATCATAAAAGCAATTGATTTCTTTGTTGTTTTTTGATGACCCAGTCAAACAGGCGGACTTTGGCAGGTCAGAAGTCAGACTTATGTATAGATATATAACTGTAAAGTTCTGGAGGTGAATATTAAACTTCAGGTCCTGAAGTTCACTTTGCTTCTGATTCTCTGCAGAGGCAGTGATTTGTTGAACCTGTAAGTTGTGGGAGAGTCTAATTGAACTCTAGGGTTAAAATATGCAGTGCACTAGTTTATTTCTCTTCTGTGGTATTGTTCTTACTGTGTAAAATTTTCACAGGTTGTGCTTTCTCCTCTGATAAACATTGCATTGGATGTGACAGAAATTAAGATTCACACTGGGAGGGAAGCTCCTACTGTCATCACATAATGAGAGGTAATGCATTATAAAATTATTATGTCAGACATGGGCCATTTTCTTAGGTATATGTAAGTTATACAGCATTCTGGAAGCTATATCTGCTTCCTTTATCAGGTTTAAAAAAGAAAAAGGTCCTACTCAGTTGGGCCCATTAGGTCTCATCTCAGTCACTAGTGAGTTGTGGTCTATTGGTTTCTGGTGAAAATATGATATGTGTAGGAATTTTGGCTGTTATGAAACTTGGTAAAAACTAATCTGAATGTTTCTTATGCAAGAATATGATTGTATGATCATACGAACTACAGTTCGTAATATTGTAATAATGCTGTAATATTGATGGCCTCTTAAAAACAAACGTTTTGAATTCAACCTTGAACCTTGGAAGTTATGTGTCACGTAATCTCCTATCCCATTCTTTCCTGCCCTAACACCTTGCTGTCTTCGTAAGGAAGACAGTTACAGAGGGTTCAGAGTAGTGACCCGTTGAGCCATGGCTGCGACATGGTAGCAGAGTAAAGGCAGGCAGAGGTAGAGAAGATCACAGCAGGTTTTGATTCATAATTCAGCCCAGTAGTAGTACGACAAAGTAAGTGGTGATATTGGCATGATCTGATCATTACCAGGCCACATCACTAGTAACACAGTAGTGGCCATCATGAAGGTAGAAAGTTTGCAAAAGCTCTTTACTTGAGGGGGAAAAAATGATACCATTTTTAATCCAGCATACTGTGATTACTCTAAATTAAGAGTATTTCTCCAGGCAGATGCATTTGGCATGAACTTTTATTCATGCATTACTTGGTTAACATTGTGTCCAGTATTTCCATATGCTCATTTTGCATTGTCAGGGACCCCGTTTCACAGCCACGCAAACAAAATTACAGTTCTGCATATTTCAGTTTTAGGCAGCAGATGAGATGACAAAAAGTTCTGAAATGAACGGTGTCAGGCATTACCCGAGTGTAATCTTTTCCTAATTTTCTCATAAATCATATTTTTATTTGTTAATGTCACTGCCAAATATCTTAATTTTGATACTTTTTCAAACAGTCTGTTAGCTGCCTTTTATGTTATGATTTCACCCTACTTTCTGGTGACAAGACAGTGTCATATACTTAACTTTTCTCTATGTTTACCCCTAGACCACCCTCCTCACTGGCATTAATTAGAGCTTCTGTTGTTTTCTTCTTTTTGGTATTTACATTATCAGCATAGACAAGAAGTTATTGTGATCCCATTCAGTTTCACTCCCACAAGATTTACTTTGACTTCAATATTAGAGTCAATTTTACCAACCACACAACATATTTTTATTATTATTACACTACATGTTTCGACCTCAAGAGGTCATCCTCAGGTGTACGAACACAGCTGTATAATTACACGCAATCACATTCGTCTTCTCACTTATTCGATCCTGTATCTTATTCAGGCCCACGCTCAATAATATATCAAGCTCCTCTCACAAAACACNGGTCTCGTTCTTCCGCGTCCTCTGATGTTGCTGGATCTGTTACGGTCCTTGTTAGAGGAGCTTGATATATTATTGAGTGTGGGCCTGAATAAGATACAGGATCGAATAAGTGAGAAGACGAATGTGATTGCGTGTAATTATACAGCTGTGTTCGTACACCTGAGGATGACCTCTTGAGGTCGAAACATGTAGTGTAATAATAATAATAAAAATATGTTGTGTGGTCGGTAAAATTGACTCTAATATTGATTAAATACACAACAGGATGCAAGAAACAATTAAAGTTTACTTTCACTTTCCTGACGGCACATTCTAAAGCAAAATTTAAAAGAAGTTGCGATAAGGCATCTCCTTGTTTTAGATCATTTTGAATAGGAGATTATCAGGTAAATGTCTTCCTACCCTACCCTACAGTAATGCATCCTAACCTATCTGTAGGACTACATTTGAAGCATTTTAAGGAATGCCAGCTTCAGTTTCACAGGGATCATCAGTCATCCTGTTGTTGCAGTTAAGATACAGAAAGTTGAGGTTTCAGGACTTTGCACATAACATAGTCGCAAAACATAAGAACCTATTTCCAGGTGATGTCATAATAGTGACCTTACTTTGGATAGACTGGTTTACACTGTTGGTCACTGCACATGTTAGTCCACTGAGACCTTGTGATATAAATGAGTGTAACTCTCTAATACTAAGGTTAGATCAATCTCCACACTAACAAGGTTGCATTATGACATTAGCTAAGGGATATGTACATATTTTCATTGGTAATATGATTACAGATTTATTTTCTTGCAGAATAATAATTAAAAATGAAACTTCTTGAACTGCCAAAGTTCCTATTGTAGGTTGTGACTAAAAATGCTTCTGTCAGGAACAAAGTAATTCTGTTTGGATAATCATATAAATTGCAGAGCATGCTGTTCTGTCTTCCGTGCCAATTTTATTAGTCCATGTTTTGTTTTACTTTTAAATGCAAAACTTTAGAAAATGAAATGGTTTTCATATGCACATTTGACATTAATATATGTATTTTCTTCTTTTGCAGCTTGTATACTTGAAACAGTGTTGGGATTTTAGTCTAATTTTTATGTTAAACAGTAAAAAAGTGTATTAAAACAAAACTGTTACAGAGTATTTGAAGATTATGAATGACACTTGTTATGATAACTGTCTTGTAACTTTTGAATAGAGGAATGTATTAAGTGACTGATACAGTTCCTTCATGATGAAATGGCTGAAATTCATACTGTGCTGAATTTGCTGAATTCAGTAGATATTTTGAATGTATAATATGGAAGTTTATCAGTTTGTAGCCCCTGTGCTTCTTCCAAACAAGGATGTGATGATAAAACTACATGAGGATGTCGCATATATTAGTAATGTGTTTGTTGTTCTCGTTGTTTTGGAAGTAGTGGAGATATATGATGGAGGTTGTTTAGCTGGATTTACAGTGTAGCCAGTGGATCTGAAACCCTGCAAAATATGTGAACTACTAACATAGATTCCTCTTCCACTTCTGCTTTTGGGAAAAATCTCTCTTGCCTCTTCCAAGTCGCTCTCCTCCCTCTTCTACTGGCTGTTACTGTACGGCCTTCACTGTTGTACAACCAAAGGTGATTGACTGATACCGAAGGCGGTGCTTTATCCTTTTGAACAGAGTTGTTCATAGTGGAGAAGGAATTTCATTCTTATGGTTTTGTGATTATTGATTGTATAACATACGTAATTTTGTAGAACATATTAGACCTTCACCATTAGTTTTTCACCACTAACAGTGTCGACATGATGACTTCATTTACCATATGCACCAAAGTGGTTCAATTCAATATGGAAATTCTTTGTGAACTATAAGCACTGTAATGTGGCATTGGTGGGAATCCTGATCAGTCTGTATCAGTGACACTTCTCTGGCTGTTTTTGAGCATGCCAGTCCTTCTGTACACACTTCACTATAGCAAAACACTGTCACTGGACTGTGATGATAATCCTTGATGAATTTCCACGCCTCTTACACTTTCAGCCCATAAAAATCAAATGACTGCACGCTGCTCTACTTTTGTACAAGTGGTAAGTGGAGCACCAGTGTAAGGCAGATGAGTGGTGGAGGAGAAGTATGTTCCTGCAAGAAAGGGAGGTTCTGTGCACAATCAGCAGTTGGGCCTTAAAAAGAATTTAATGTTTTGTGGATTTTACACCATTGGTCCAGTGATTGAGGCTAGCTCTTTCTAAGGGACCCAACAGAATAGGTGTTCTCCTTCACCTGAGGACGGAAACAGATCCAGTTTCCGAAACGTCATGTTTTTATTAGTTATCTTAAAAACCAGGACGATGGATAAAGTCCAGAAACCCAATATATCAGTGCTATCTTCCATGTCCTTTCAAATTTATTATTTGCTGTCATCTAGTCACTCGATGCTATATACCGTCAGTAACTGACATTGTCAGTAGCTGAACTGCAGTTAAACAAATGTTGCAGTGTGCCACCATAAACTTGGCTTAGAACTTGCTCTGTGGTTCAGCACACGCAGCTTTGATGGTTTAGATGCCAGCAGCAGAGTGCATTCACGTTTCTTCATTTATCATCGTCTGCATAGTTTGACTGCTTGTGTCTCATCATTCTCTGAAGATTAAGATATTTTCTTTCTGTTTTAATTATACTTCAATTCTATATGGTCACAGAAATCCATAAAGTTTGAGCGAAACAAAACAGGTGAATGTGCTGTCCTCAGAGTATGAAATGGAAGAATGTTTGTTTGTTTATGGTTCCCATCCAGAATATTGTTGTGCCCTAACCAGTTACAGTTGCTTCCCACCTAGAATATACTGCTTTGGGCAGTTGCTTCCGTTAGTTCAGCCAGTCAGTTCGAATCAGCATCAGTGCGAGTAAAAGTCACATTATTAATCAAGAAAGAGACAAATACCTTAGTTCAGTAGATTTAGATGTAGGGAGAGATTAATTTTCTAGATATGTGCTGTAAATATTTGTATAGATTTCAGAAGCTTTTTTCCTGCTTTGTCTGCTTGAGATTTTTCTACTGTAACACTGTTGTACATAAAAGTGTTTTTGTTGATTAACTTGGGCTAAGGTATCTTTAGTAATAATTAAGAGTTTTTTTTTCCATAAATAGTTAGGTAGGGTGTAGAAATTTTATAAAAGTTGAGGTAGTGAACTGTGCTTGGTGTTTAATTATTTATTGGAGAAATTTGTTTTTGATCAATGAAAATCCATTTTGGGTGATTTTATGTGTATGGTGTGTTGCTGGCTTTCGTTCTTTGTGGTAGGAATTATTGTATCATGTTGTAGAGGCTTTTGTTATGTAGCAGTTATATTTTTGTTGGTGGTAGTATTAGATATGGCAGTTGAAATTCCATGATTAAATTAGCAGAAGATACACTTCTCTTAATTTCCAGATTTTCTGTACTTGGAATTTGTGTTGTTGTTAGTAACAGTAACAACATTATTATTATTATTATTATTATTATTATTATTATTATTATTATTATTATTATTATTATTAAATTTCAGTTCATTTCCTTTATTTAAGTGCTTGCCAACAGTGAGTGGCCTATAACAGGCGAGCACTGAATGTATACATAACTAAAGCTAGACTAAGGCTGGAATAGAACTAGACTGAAAATTAAATACCAGAGAACAAAACAATACAAGTAACACACTAGTGGTATAACTGGAACCGTAAACTCAGTAAGATTAAGTAAAGGAAACTGTATCCTCCAGGGATATGTCCAGAGATCTGCAGATGCTGTTTGCAACTATGATGCACCTTTTTGAAGGCCTAAGTCTTGAAACATTGCTGATGTTAAAGGTGGAAAATGTCCCTAAGTTCCCTAGTGGATACATGGAGACCAACAGTATCTGCAATAAATATCAGTTTTGTTCTCAAAACCATTAATAAGAAATTGTCAAGGTTTTATCATCTGTAATAAAGCATATTGAAATTGAAATAATGTGACATCGACTCATAATTACAAAGAGAGTCAGACTGAATAAATCTGTTATAGTGGAATGCGTTTTGGTTTGGTTTAAAGTTAGCAGAAGAGTTCATATGACCATAGCATACATAAGAGGATAAACTTTCTTGTGTCATTATGGAACAACCATTATTGTCCATCTATAAATTTGGCTTCAACATCAGAAGTACTAGTTACGTTTTTCCTCCATCATGTTCTGCTGTGAGAGTACACTGCCCAGTGTCTTACAAATAAGGAGGTGAAAGTAATTGTGGTGTCCACACAAGGTGAAGGTGTAGTCAATATACATTTTAACACTGCAGTCAGCATATGTAGATTAGAATAATATTTCCTAAAGAGCATTATGGCAGTCACATCGCCCATGCCGTCTAAGGCATGAACTGTCTTTTCTTGCTCAAACACAGGGATCGCAGGTTCGAATCTCACTCAAGGCATGGATATCTGTGTTTGTGTTGGCCTGTGTATGTAGCACCCTTGTGATGGGCTGATCGGTTGTCCAAGGAGACCTACCATCTGTGTAAAAAAGATTACAAGATGGAAGAAGAGATGAGAGCCCACAAAGGGCTGTAGAGCCATTGATGAATGAATGAAAAGTGCATTATATGAAGTAACTTCCTGTGTTTGGGGGGGGGGGGGCTACTCATGGGCAACTGTTTTTGGTTGGTTAGAATTGCTTCCTCTTTATGTTGGTCAGTGCACTTTTACCAGCACACTGTCATCACCCAATCTGGACTTTCTTTGAAATCCAAGAGAAGATGCTAGAAATGTGGGGTTCTTGTATCTTATTTGTTGCTGTGAATGGAATTACAATGAAATATTTTCAGATGGTTAGGTATAATGATTTTGGATGCCAAAATTGGAATTCCAGTACATTATTATTTATGTCCATATTATTGGATTGTATTTACATAACTGCGGTCATTAATTATACAGCATAACCAGAAATGTGTCTAGGCATACATGCTTTGAAAATAAAACTGTAAACTTGGTATGTAATAATCTTTACACAGTTTGCAGTCATGTAATCGTATCCAGTGCAGAATAAGGTTTCAAATATTGTTCTATAATAGACTGCAACTTATGAAACTTGTTGGGTGGATGGAAGAGGAAATGATTTGCTCGCGTGTTGACATTTTAAGCAATATGGGAATGTTTTAACATGATACCTTGTATATACTGGAAAGTCTACCTCTAAAATATTGTGAAACATCATCTTCTAAATCAGAAACTTTAAATAAAATTACTTACCATTTGGAATGTGATAGCCTTAGCAGACAAGACATTTCTAACATCATTTCTTGATATGTACACTTGTGATAGTGATAGAGAGTTGAGAGAATTGAGCACAGTGCTTAAATCAGCTGCAATCCAGGGGTAGTTCCATAGTGCAGCTCTGATTTATGTGGTGATTTGATGCATGTATTTAGCCATGGCTGTCTTATTTTGGTATTTGTTGAATAACAAAATCCCTTTTACCTGGTATGTGGCACATATTACCAAGAACATGCTTGATATATAAACTTGCATCTTACAGCTTTGAATGACTGAATATTCTGAGTACTAGTTATTAACTGGAATTTACCACATAAAAGTATTATAAAAATTAGAAATTGCAAGTAGTGCAGTAACTAATTATTGTAATAATGTTGACATGGTGTGTAGCACAGTGCAGTTATGTAGTTTTCACAAATGTGTGAACTTGCTTCAGATCAGGTGTATTTCTGAACATAATTTCTTCTTGAAAGTATTTGTAAATTAAATGTTAAATAGAGTGTGCACACATCATTACATAAGACTTCCAGTGTATTTAATACATACAAGCAGATAATATCATACTTCATTTTTCAACTAGAGAGGAGGGGTCCAGGTAGTTACGTAATGCATGGCAGTGTCTAGCATCTGCACAACTGTTGTCATATGCATCTTTGTTCTACCCGATGTTCAGTTTTGTCTGCTTAAGGTAATATTCTTCGTCATGCTCTTTAGAGTGGTAAGCTGTCATTGAAGTCTGGACATTTGCATGGGACTGAGTATGTAAGAAGCTTGGCTCAACCCCTTCTCTCTATGACAGAAACACGTGTATACAAATGTACACTGTTTGGAGGCTGGCGGAACATGCCCCTGATCAGCTTAACACTTGAGTTGCTTGCTCGTCACATTCTGTCCTCATGAGGTGCAGCTTGTTGGAAATGCATGTTTGTAATATAATACACATATATTTTTCAATCAGAGGAATAACACTAAATGTAAACATATTGCAATTGCAGAGAGATGCATGAATGCAGATGAAAGTGTACAGTAGCACAGTATTGCAAAGAAACATTTGTTAGTTGATTGATTGGTTGATTAGAAGGAAACCTGCTATGATGCCTTTGACCATGGGAATAATTTTTTATTGATATCAAATTTTGCTTTGAGATTGTAGCTTGGGATAGTGAACCTGATTCAGATAAAGTGTCCCTATATAGTCTCCATGAAGAGTTTGCCTAAATTCAGTACATATCTTTTGGCCGCAGTTCTTATTGCTGAATGGCGTCAAGAATGTAAATACTGGTACTTGTTTATTTTTTATTATATAGATTTTGTTTTCCTAATGTTACATATCTGGCTAACAGAGACATTTCCTTTGGTCATTGGATTTCAAGAATTTATTCCTTCCAAGAAACAGAGCATACAGTGCCCCATGACAGACCAAACTTCTGGGTATTGTTAATTAGGCAGATAAACAGAAATGTTACTTGAACATATGTCTGATTCCTAATCACTGTAGAAGTGTGAGCATTAAATTTGTGGACATGGAATTACCCCGCAGTTGGGCATCATAAACATTGCTAATCAAATTGTAAATGTAATACAAAAATGAGATACAAGTGCTGAAATACGAGTTATATGAGAGAGTGTTCAAAGTGACCTTCATTGTGGAAGCACAGTGATGTGTTTTGTGACAGTGATCATATAGCAAATGGTTTCAAGATTGTCATAAAGAGTTTTGCATTGCTTTGTTGTGAAGTTTTTCTGTTGTGAGTTGAGCTGGTGCACCAATATCTTCATATATCCCCAAAGAAAAGAATAAAGTGGTTCAAGATCAGGTATCCACGGAAAACACTGTCTCTGGTGTCAAGAAGGCCTGTTTACCGACCCATTGCCTGGCAATAGATGTTCTATTGTCGAGCAAGTATTTTTTGCATGGGAATATGTTTACTGAGTTATTGCCTAGCAGTGGGTATACAAACAAACTCTGTCGCCT